ACCGACCGACCGACCAACCAACCAACCATCCATCTATCCCTCCCTCCCTCCATTCATCCATCCATCCATCCATCCATCCATCCATCCATCCATCCATCCTTTATTCACCTCTTTCCTGCTCTGCTCCTGTAGTTTCCTAAACCCTCTCACATCCTCTGCCTCCTTAGTCAAACTCTGGGACATTGTCATGTGCACATTGGCCAAATGTTCAGTTTCTGTTAGGCACACATAATGATACAGATTAACACAGACTCCAATAAAATATCTTTGTAGGTTGTCTTAATGCATTGGCCCTAGTTTGAACCCTCTAAGTACCAAGATTCTTGGGATTATAAGCATGCATAGTTGAACTACGTTTCCATATACATGTATACTACACTGTAAATTGAATGTCAATTGTACGTCAAACCATAACAATTTATTTCATAAAGATCTACCATGAGCTAACTTTCACCTGACATTCCTTAGAATATAGAGGTAAGTACCAACCTTTTCTGACAGTGTCCCATGCATTTCTCAGTATCCTGTATGCAGAACAACATAAGTGCAGATCAGCACCAAGGACAGGTCTACCCACAATGTGTTGTCTACCTACACATTCAAGTGATTGTATCCATTCTAGTTCTAGAAACTCATCTTATTTTTAAGGGCATCTGAGGGGTTTCAATTTTCACCTGTGATGCAAGAAGCTAGAGATGCATAGTGCAGACAGCAGCAGTGAAAGATTGAACATGTAAAAATCAAGTCTCATTTTTTCCCAATCCCAAATCTTACCCAATCTCTCCCCCATCACCTGCACTTCTCACTATCTTCTGTAGGGCTTTTGAATAGTCCTCTTCTGCTTTAGCTCTGTGTGGATGGAACAAGAAGAGTTACAATTTTGCTGTCACATCTAAGGACGCGAAATACCAGCTGTATTATGCAGGTTAGTGCAGGTAAAATTGGAGCTGTGCAGGTATTTCTGATGTTCACCTGTGTTTAAGGAAGTCTTCCAGCTCCTTACACATACTGGACCCCTCCTTCATACGAGCCAACAGTGTCTCAAACCCCTGTGTGCTGCAGAAGTCAGTACCCTGCAAGTCAGAATAGACACATGACTGTCAACATATGATTAATAACAAGTTAATATTATAGATTATTTATAAATGCTTCAAATTCTTAGTATGTGTGATACAGACATCTTATGGCTTGCCATGTCTGCCACAACTTTGATGGTAAACTTGGTGATAATGAAAAAAAAACAGGTAAAGCTATACAGACATTTATCACTGGGTTATCAAGCCATAATTTCTGGCTTTTTGACAGTAATATATTTTAATGGCAGTATCAAGTACACAGAGTGCATTTTGCTGAACTACATGTGCAAAATCGACTTATTCATTGTATCATAGTAGTACTGTCCACCTTAGGCTACAACATGTAGTAACCACAATATACAAACACTAACATAAACAGTGGTGGGAGTATGATATTTCACGTCACCTAATGAGGATAGTACCCAGGCTGTAATTTGAGTATGCCCTAACATCTATAATGATGGTCACCCCAATTACAATAGTTAGAGACACTAATCTAATATATTGGCATAAACGTTGCAAATTGTACATGTACAAACAACAATGACAACAATTCATGGCACCCCCTAATGATTGTTACAAACACTCGTATTAGCTGGGTGTTAAACATTTAATGGTAAATAAAATTATTTACCCAGTGAAAAGACTTTTCCTTGATTTCGGAAATCTCTATACAACTCTGAGACACTAAATGGAGAATGCCTTTTGTCTCTAGCTATGTTGACATATTCAATATAACCTTTGACCTAATTTGTAGCTTAGCTAGATACAGCCCAGGTGTTGCTAGGTAATATATCTGATAGGCAATGATTCTCAATATTAAATAATTAATATTATCTCCTAGCACAATGTTGCTGACATTTTTGACTACCCTGTTTTTGCTGGAAGAATATATAGAATATAGAATTTGCTGGAACAATATATAGAATATAGAATTAAAGGAAACTTCACTAACATATTATATCATACTCCTTTACACTGTGCATTGAGATTTTAACTCCATTAATATTGATTTACTATCATTCATAATTTATTTACTTATTTATTGCCCCAGTATCAGTGTGCAAGCATGTCTACCCCTCGGTTACCGGAGCACGTTAAACGGATAGAGAGAGAGAGAGACTGGATATGTCAGAAGATTTGGATGTGTCTCATTATTTGTTTAATATAGGGGTTATGGATAAAACTACCCTTGGACTTCAGTACCTTTGTGTATACTAGTCCAAAGTTTACTATGCCACACACTGACTGAGGTAGAATAAGAAACCCATATTTAGCAGTGATCCTGTCATCGCTAGATTTATAAATCCATGGGGTATTCTGTGGACCCTAAGGACCTTTCAAGTTGCATTTTGTTTTGTCCTCTTTTTTGTCCTCTCTTTTTAATTAGCCGGTATAGAAAATCATGCTACTCCTCAATAAAAGACAGCCTTCTCAAAACAAGCTGGCAACAGGCAAAAATCACAGACTACTTAAATTTTTTTGCCGCCTACTTTCGTGTAAATTTAAGAAAAAAATTGTAGTCTCCACTAAAAACCCCTTCATGGCTTGCCTGCTACTTTTCCATTTAAGCCACCTACTCTAAATTTTTGTGAGAAGGCTGAAAGATGAGATTGCTTTTTATTATTGAGAATTTTCTTGTGTTTGTGATAAAGCTAAGTATTAAGGGTTGGATATGTCTTGGAAGACACATACCATGCCTGAAAATGATCCCTCTGTTTCCTTGAAGATAAGACCACTTCCTGCTCTTAAAGTGCATCCAACCAAGAGTTATCTGACAACAGGAACTCATAGTCATACCGGCAGACTACTGGGGGCCTGCATGCCCTTTCTTATATTAAAGGCTTAGACTTGCATATAGTCGTGCAAGCTACTAGTATTCTAATTTTCTGTGATATGTTGGAAAAACTTTGTAGTGAGGTGAAATTTTGCATAAAGCGAACGTATCCAGTACGTGCTTTATAGATAATTTAGTCTAAAATCCACCAAAGCGATCATGCATATCTGACACCCACAGTTCCTCTTTTACTTTTAATATCATGTTTCAGGTGCAGGTTTCATTGTAACAAAAGTACGCAAACATCCCTTGTTAATAATACATTACTGTATCCTGTTCACTTCCAAGTCTCAAGAAAATGAAAGTCATTTCCTTTGTTTCATTGCTTCCAGATCTTTCAAGACTTGGAAGACAGCCAAACAGCACTTGCCAGTCTGCTGAGATCTTTTTTGGACAGTGACCAAGTTTCTTATCTATATTTAGCATGATGTCTGCTACGAGAGTAACCATTCACAGTCACTTCCTTATGATTTTTCTGTAATCTAAGGTCTGCCTTAAGGAATTCCCCTGATCTATCTATTCTGAAAATCTGCACAAATACTCAATACTTAAATCTAAACAAAGAATACATTCATGAAAGCCTGGCTATCAAGTTAATTAAAACCAGACGCCATGATTTGCAATAATGGCTGACTGAAGTCTGCAAAATGGGTGCATTCAAATGGGGATTTTGTCAAAAATGTCGAGACCAAAGTCTCTGTTTATACAAGTCTTGGCCATTAAGGCAACACTCAGCCATTTAATACAAGAAAAACAAACAGACTGTAGTATAACTTTACACAAGAATATAACAGATCATTACAGAAGTCACAGCCAAAGGCTGATTATGTAGGTGCCTACCAATTAAGGTGCATCTAAATTTATTGCTAGACATGCGCTTGTGAACTCTACATCCTGTACAAAACTCAGTAAAAGTTTGGAAAGTGAAAGAAAGTTACCACAAATGTTTGTGCACCCAGGGGTGTCCAACCGGAAACAAAAATAACTCAACCTCATCCAATTTCACTCACCCAAAAGCTGTCTTCAAATCTCGCCATGATTCTTGTACTGTGAACTTCAGGTGCTTCTTAGGTGTTCAGAACGTCTGGCTGTAGATAGATAGTTACAAAGAAAGCTTAGCCAACCGAGCAGAGTGAAACATGATGCCAGAAGAGCAACCAGGAAGTGCCGAAGTTCAGTCGAGTTGGCGGAAGTTATTTACATACGGGTCACGTGGCAGCCACTTGCCGTTTGTTGACATTTCACCTGGACGATGCTATTATATTTTGTAGGGGTTAACAGGTTTGTCGAGGAAATTATTGAAACATAACAAATTTTTTCGCAGTATAGCTAAGCCTTTTGCTACATTTCTTAAAACTTTTCTAGCTGGCTAAACGTAAAGAAATGCCACCATAGGCCTATCTTCTTCGTCAATAAAAAGAAAAACTAAGGAGGATAATCTGCTAGGATAGACTCACCTAACCCGACAGAGGTGCGCACGGTTCAAAAGAGACACCCTATGGCTGGCCGAGGTACTGCAGAAACCTCTTTACCAGTTGAACTTAATGCACAAACTTCTTGTGTCCTTACAAGTTCAATGTGAAATAAAAAAAAAGCTACACCACTAGTTTTGAACTTTATTTGGCAACTGTTGACAAAATAGATGCACAGTGTGTAATCTCATGTTGTATCCCAATATTTGCAAAGCTTGATCTTTGAAAGTCACAAAAGTATCCTAGCACTATCCTAGTCCTAGCACTATAACTAAACTACTCGGTCTATTTTAGAAGAAAAAGACCTTTGCCACTCTTGTACTAGAATAGAACAAAATACTACTAACAGTTACATGAAAAAAAAGGCGGAGAACGAAAGACTTTCACCCTATGAAAAGAATCAAGGAGGTTAAATACTTGAGACTTGTATTTAAAAGGTTTAACGTACTGTTGCAGTTGAAATAGATAAATAAATGAATAAAATAAATAGCCTGGGCACCATGCCGATTTTTCTCCGCTACGCTAGAAAAAAATCAAAAGCCAAAAAGTTTTGGGAACAAATTAATTGGATGGTTTCATAGTACTCAAACCTAATGAGCCTGTAATGACTGGTGAGCGTAAATGTTTTAGCTTACAGAAAATTACACCTTCTGTCAAATTAACACATATTAAGGACGCTGAAGACCCTGATATACCGGTCAGCCAGTATATACTAGTATGGCCCAGTATGCACCGGTCATTCTGCTGCAATACTGATGATTCCCGCTAGGGAGAAGTTGTATCGGAATGCTCCGTCGGATATTTAATCTATACTCTGGGAGGGAGATCCTATCCGGCCAAACGTATCACAACATTTATGTGATTGTATAGTAGTAATGATACTAGCTTTAAACGTTAACATTATCTGATGGGCGTTGAATTCCTCAGAGTGCCTGAACTCTGGTCACAAGATCACACCATAGCCGGTCTCGTGCACAGTGCTATGGGAACGAGTGTGCCTTTTTTTCAGGACGAGCGGAATATAGAATAGGGACCTACGTAGATTTATGTTTAAACAAATGAATATATACAGATACAATAAATAGATACACATATACAAAGAACAATTAAATACATTATTAAAGCTTTATAATGAGTATTTATACTGTTTATAGTGTTTAAAGGATAGAATATTATTCAAGTTAGATTACCAGACCCCTAGAGTGTAGTAGGCACTCCCAAAATACAGAGTGCTCAGTAGAACGATGGACATGATGGACTGAAAAGGTCCAGTCTTGGACATTCAGTATTTCTTTATTTCTACCGCCTCTGCTGTCCACTAACAGTCACCATGGTGTTTGAATCCTTAGTGGTGGATCTGTTGAACAGATTCCTGGGTGACTACGTGGAAAATTTGGACCGTTCCCAGTTGAAACTCGGCATATGGGGAGGTGAGCCTGTGTTTACGTGTGATATTTTCTTAACCATTAGGAAGATCTTCAATGTTGGGCGGGGGTTCGCAAGTCCCTGTGATATCTGTCGTCTTCTCGGTAAATTTTCCGGCTACAAAGACGCAAAAGTTCAGTTCCAACGTCGGTTTCAGACAGTGTATCCGTGGCTAAGATTTTGCTCAGTTTCATATGAAACCCGGAAGCCAGGCAGAAGGGGGTGTGGCCTTAGGTGCAGTGCAGGTCGCCTGGCTAAGCCATGCTATTGATCAGTGTTGATATAGGGGGGCAATTCAACCTTAATTGGATCAAGTCTTTCCTCCAATGCAAACAGAAAAACGAAACGTGGTGGAAAAAAGCCCAAATTTAGGTTGGAGGGTGTTAAGTGCAATTTTTCTTGGCCTGCATCATGCATGGGGTCTTGGAAATATTTTCTCAGTGAGGCAACCTTTAAGCCCCAGTGCATGAAGCTCCTTGCTTAAAGGCACCCAAACCGATTTCAGGGCAGTAAGACTGGATTTTCTAAGTCAATTTTCTGGTCTGATTTGTAGTAAGTTGAATCAACCCTGTATCCCGTAGCATACTGATATCTGTGAGGCAAAAATTCTATGTCGCTGATGGAAAATGGCGGCTTATTTTTTCGAATCATAGGCTGATTCTAGGTATTTATTGGTGGTACCCCAAAATAAAAAGATACCTCACGTAGTTTGTTTCTGCGCTATTTGAAATGCGTCAAGTATGAACTAATGACAAAAGTGTCCTAAGAAATGGTGAGTAAATGAATATATCAGATCATATTTCCACATTTTGTTATGCCACCTCGAAATTGTAGTGGATGCCTCTACTAAGAACCCTAAAGCAACATTATCAATTTGTTGGATTGGTAAATGGAATTACCATCATCATGTGACAAAATCTAATGATATAAAAGTCCAACTGAACAATGGAGTACTGCAAATATTGTAGTGGTTTTATGTTTGTGGTTTTTGCTATGACCTCTTTCTTCTGTGAAATGCTGACACTGCAACTAATTTTCAGTCTATGTGCCCACTGCAAATTCAAATCACTGTAATAATTCCTCATTTTCTTCCCTTAACAGAGACACTAAATCCCCTCAAACTCAATAAATGTACAGAAGTATTGTCATAATTCAGGTTGGTGCCATTTTTTTCAGCTTATTCAACCGTACAATGTAAGCACCCTCCCTCCTTGTTCATAACCCTTGATGTGGGGCGTTGACCGGTCTATTTGCTAGGCCACACCAATTTAATTTGTTGGTTCTCGGATTCGCCTCTTCGTTTTTTTCTGATTTGCAAAAAAAAAAAAATTTGATTCTGGTCCTGAATCAACTGAAAAATGCTCATGTTTTGCCCCCCAACAGTTGAGGAAAGTCCTTTTCTTCCTAGTTGTTACAGTTTTCCCATCTATCATTGCAGTGGTTTGATTAAAAGTTCAAAATTCAATGTTTAAATTTTAACCCAGCCTTTTGTGTTGACTTCATGGCTCATTTTGTAGCATTTAAGCCTATAATAGGATGCCTAGACCTGTTTTTATTTTTATTTTTTTCGCCCTGTCGCTTCATATTTTTTCTGAAAAAATCCTAGAACCAACAAATTAAATTGGTGTGGCCCTAGTATATAAAGGGGGATTTACCCAAGTTACATGCTACGGTGAAGAGAGCCCTAAATGCATTATTATTTATAGGTCAATAAACGCAAGTCTGCTTCATCAATGTTGCATGTACATCTGTGCAAATTGCACCCGGGGACTTGGCCCAATAAATACAGAAAATAAAAAGTGTGTTAGGATTAGTTCATGAGCATAGGTAATATTGATATAATGTATTACATATAATAACAATCATTCATAGTAACTGTATGTGTCTTGTATATCCTGCGGTGGTGTAATGATTAGCAATCCGGGTAAGGTATCACAAGGTCAAGGGCTAAGGATCTTGACTGGCCTATCAGTATCTCTGTTTTGTGATGATAATTTTTACTGAATAATCAATGTGGTAGGGCCAATGGACTGAAATGTGCTACCTATTTCTACACAATACTTGTGAATAGAGAAATTGGTCATGCATGAATTCAAAGTGTAGCTAAAATATTCTAGGTGTTTACCGTTAAACAATATTAAAATCTGACAACATGCACTCTACTAGAAGGGGTTACAATTTTTTTTAATGGGAATCATAAACTTAAGTACAGGTTTTGTGTTTATCACAAAACATAAGGAACCCACTGCACTTGCAATTGTTAATACATTAATAGTATGATTTTCGCCAATTGGTTGGTAGGCACTGTTTCAAAATAAATTTGAGATACTAGTAGCATGACTAATATGCAGATTTAAACTCTATGAGTCTATGTACAGTGCCAGAAACACCCTCAGGTAAAATTCACCAGTTTTGTAATGTTTGTTTAACCTCTGGAGAATCCAGGGAACTTCAGGCAGAATTCTGGAAATTCTCAAGAATTTTGGCTGATGTTTCTGAGTAAATTCTAGAGCACTAGCTACATGTATGTCCCTAAATGTAACCTACATCATTTGTTACCCTTACCTACCATAGTAATGACATACAACAGACAACCAGTCTCATTTGGTCAATTGAACCTGATAATGAAAAAAATAAGGTTTTCAGCAATTAGGCTGTCTGAAATTATTTTTCTGTCATGAGTGCTAATAAAAAGATATTCTGCATTTACTGTAATATTGTGATGTATGACAGAGTATGACAAGTATCATGAATTTTGAGTAATTCCTAATGCCCTTATTATGTACTCTCCATGCATGGCATATAGCCCAAGTTTGTACTACACTGTGCATACAAGAAATATAATTTTCAATGACACATAGACTGTGATTGAGGAGGGGAGGAATTTTAGTTCTGGTATTCTTGGCAATAACCTTGTTGGATTTTGGGAAATGTTGATAAACGATTATTCTTTTCCAATTCAAGTTCTTTTCCTTTTCTACCAGAAGTATACATTGGGTTAAAACATGTATTGTTGGTCACCTGTGACCAATAGATTCAAACCAATAAAACAGACTAAAACAGGCCATTAAGTACTAACTTAGTTTTCCTTGTGATGACATCATGTGCCAGAAATGTTTACTGTATCATGTTTGTTTGTTTGTAGGCGATGCTGTGTTGGAGAACTTGGACGTAAAGGAAAATGCTCTGGATGACTTGGACGTGCCAATCAAGATTAAGTCAGGACATCTAGGTATGTCTTTTTTCATCCATCCATGGACAGATCATAAGATAATTGAGAGTCTGTTTGTACCATTAAAGCCATGCAATACATGTATGTGAAAATGGAAAGTAATATTTTTGTAACTTTTTTGTTATGATGTTGTTTACAGGGAAGCTGACCCTTAAGATCCCATGGAAGAACCTTTACAAGGATGCAGTTGTTGCCACACTGGAGGGGCTGTATGTGGTGGCTGTCCCTTCTTCTGGTTAGTACTGTCACATAGTTCATCTTTATTAAAGGCATGCAATACTGTTTCAGGGCATGCAATACTGTTTCATGATAAAATTTGACTGATAGTGATCAATGTTTACCGCTATTTAAGAAAATTTTGACACATTTCTGTTCATCATTTAGTATTTGAAGCATTTGAAGTGGCACAGAAACAAGCTACACTGTATGTAAGGAGTCCCTGTATTTATGGGTACCACCCAGAAATAGCTAGAACCTATATTGTACAATACAATACAAGCAAGCGTTTTCCATCATGATCAGTGACATCATTTTTACCTCACAGATATCAATCAGTATGCTATCGGATAGGGTTCATTCAACTTACTACATTAAAACAATGACCAGAAAATTGACAGTAAAATCCAGTTTTACTGCCGTAAAATTGCTTTTGGTGCTGTCATTGTCATGTAGGTGTTTTTGGCAACACCTCAAGTGTGGTGCTGCTGAAAGAAAATAAAGTTATAATTTTTAAGGTATTTTAAACAACGATTCCCAGAACCAACTATAAGCTTAAGTATAGCTTTTATGATAAATACAATCAATGACTGTACACACCTTCTATGTTTATCAGAATATCAGATACAAGCACATAGTATTACATATATTGTTATGCATCCTGTCACAATATGATGTTTCTGCATTAGGGATGAAGTATGATGCAGAGAAGGAGAGGAAGATGAAACAGGAGACCAAGAAGAAAGAGCTGGAGCGTATCGAGGAGGCACAGATCAAGGAGGCTGAGAAAAGTAAGGATCCATACTTCTGACACCATGTTGTAAATAGTCTGCATACATGTATATTATGATCATCTACAGTTAATCAGCTAGTATAGTTCAGATGTATCCAATGTACCAGTAGTCTGTTACACAATGTAGCTTTAAAAGGTAGATGCATGTACAGTGCACATTCAGAAATTGTTTTTTGAAATGATATTTCTTAAAGTTGTACCAGGAAGAATTTTTGGTGTACTGCATGTGTAAGTGAGGAAAATGATATGATCAAAAAGGTAGCTATAGCACAAGGAATTTGGATGTTACAGTATGCGAATTTTGCTAAATTTCAGAGAGAAAATTTCATTCATTTCATGTAATATTTTTCAAAAGACAAAAAATACATACAGCTTATTATGTACATTTGTACATGAATTGGAGTAAATTAACAGTAGTTACAATTTGAATTTCTATCTTTTTTTCATAGATAAGAACAAAGATGACAAGCAGGACACTTTCGTGGAGAAACTGGCGACTCAAATCGTTCGCAACCTTCAGATCAAGATCCGAGACATCCACATCCGCTACGAGGACACGGTGACCTTCCCGGGCAAACCCTTCTCTGTAGGGGTCACGCTGCAGAACCTTTCCTTCCAGGTCAGAGGTCAAACTCACTCAGTACAACCAATAGAAACGTTCGTTGGAAACAGTAGTTTTCATGTACACATTCCATTGATCTACAGAATAATTTGAAACAATATGGAAGGATGCAAAGATGGTTATTTAATATGATTCTTAAGCAGACTTCCTTTAAAGATTTCCAAGAACAATTTTAAAATGTGATAGACAATACATTTCAGAGAGTGAAAGAACTTAAAAGTGTCTTTATATGCATTACTTTACTCTAACAATGAAGATACAGGACTTTCTGTACCAAATCTTCTAATTTTGGAGTCATATAGATGTTTAATATACCATTTTTAATTAGAACACTGAAACAAATTTTTCTTCGTCCTTCTATATCTGTTCTTATAGACAACTGACCAAAACTGGAAACCCTGCATATTGAAGGACAGTGACATCATTATTTACAAGGTAAGTGTTGATACCATTTTAGTATTCAGCCTTAAAAATTTTGCCATTGTGACATACAACAAAAAGAGACCAGAAATAGGGTGTTACATGTATGTACTGTTTCTTGTTGACAATACATCTAGCACCAAGCACAAAATCAGTACTAGTGAGACAACATATTTTTGTAAATTATTACATGATGCAAAACTGTTTTGTATACACTGTATGTAAAGAAAGTTAGGCATCTAATTTTGTGAGTTCCTTTCTAGCTTGTTTCCCTGGACTCCCTGGCTCTCTACTGGAATGTGAACAGTGCCACTTTTGCTGATATGGAGAAGAAGTCTCTGCTGGTAAGATGGTTTGATTCCTGTTTTGAATGGGCTCAAGGCTATCTTTCCAGGCAATATGTGCCACCAAATGCAGGATAGTTCCTTCAGATTAAAGTGCTTTGTATTTTTTTTTCTTTTGAAACAATTTCCAAAAGATTTTTTGTTAAAAGTGTTGGAATCAAGTGTTGACAATTGTTGTGTTTTCTCTTTAGTTAATTAAGTAATAGTTAATTCATGTGTGAATCTACTTGCTAATGTAAATAGTTAATCTTTTTGAGGTAGAATTGGTCCAATGTAGATCTGAAAGTGTTTGTTATCATCAAACTTAAAGTTATGAATCTTTTTTGCAGACCACAATGAGGAAAACCATTGCCTCTACACAGACTTATCCAAAAGGCTTTGAGTATGGTAAGTTCTTTCCTTTTTTGGAGGGATAAGTAAATTAATGGAAAACATTTCCTTCAGTTAATGGTGTGATGTCTTGTTAATTGTAAAATTAAAGGAACTCCCAAGTACATAACTTGTTTTGTGGCTATTTAAAACACTTCAAGTATAAAATGGTGACAAAATTGTAGTAAGAAATGGCAGTAAATGTCAATATCCAACAGATTAACTTATATCCAGATTATATTTTTAGTTTTGCCTCCCTGTAGAAATCAGAATCAGTACAACACATTTAGATAATTAGACAGAATGCATTCTACACTTTCATACCCAGATTGCATTCTGAATCAGTGCACATTGTAGAAGCCGTGCCAGTATGATATATTACTCTGCCTTGATTTCATCTTCTCCCAGTCCTGCGGCCGATTGTCCTGACGTCACAACTGAAGATTAACCCCAAACCTGAGACCAACCTGTCCATGCCCAAGGTGTTTGTCAACGTCACACTTAAGGAGATTGGTCTTGTGGTCGGGAAGAAACAGGTAAGGACTAGGGAAAAAAATGTTGTGTTTCCTGTTTCCTAAGGCCACAAAAATTTAATTTGTTGGTTCTCGGATTTTTTAAGAAAAAATTTGAAGTGACAGGGCGAAAAAACAATAAAAATGACAACAGGTCTAGGCATCCTATTATAGCCCCAAATACTACGATAGGAACCACGGAGTTAACACAAAAGGAACAACAAATTGAATTGGTGTGGCCTAATAACTGTCCATAGAAAAAAGGGCCAGCCCTAGCCTTTTTTGTGTGGACCCCTGCAAGGACATACATAAATTTTTCGAGCTGATCGACCTTTTCTAGCTCCATGATCTGACACCTGAGTGATAAAACACTGTACAATCAGTTTTCCAAAATTGACATTGAAAATGAAAGTGTCCTCATGCAAGTTTTACTTTGTTAATCTGTATTGCACCAAACAAGATGGAAGACATAAAAAAACAGAGAATAATAAACGCCTTAACACCTCCGCTAGTTGCCATTCCTTACAAAAGTCGTTATACTTTTGTTGTGTCAATAAAGATTGCATGACATGATTTTTTATATGAAGTTCTTGTTAACCATATTTGATATACAAGTACAGTGTGAAAGATCTATTTTGCTACTATTGACCATTATGTTAACACCTTACATATGCTGAAGGTGTGGCCATGTATATTACATGATAATATAGCATAACGTTAGCAGAAATCCATACTAAATATTGAAAAGTATGTACTGTAGTAGATTTAGAATGCAAAGCATGTCTTCATTGTCCTTGGATCCTTGGAATTCAGCCAAGGTTGACATAGAGGCTACCTAGGGGAGCTAGTACATGTACGTAGTGATTAGTATATATCATGCTGTATGGCTTTGGGAAGTTATGGGCAATTTTTCTGGTGAATGCAAGAAACGAGGTATTCAGCACCAAGGACAGGTCAAAACAGAAAGATTTTCCCTTCATTTGATATTTTTCCACCATGACACGTAGTTGAGCTTGTACATGATATGTAGTGATTAGGATATATCATGCTGGATAGCTTTTCAAAGTTATGGTGCATTCAAGAAATGAGGTATTCAGCACCAAGGACAGGTCAAAACAGAAAGCTTTTCCCTTCATTTGATATTTTTCTACACTTTACCTAGGGGAGCTAGTACATGATGTGTAGTGATTAGGATATATCATTCTGAATAGCTTTGCAAAGTTATGGTGCATTCAAGAAACAAGGTATTCAGCACCAAGGACAGGTCAAAACAGAAAGATTTTCCCGTCATCTGATATTTTTCTACACTGTACCTAGGGGAATCAGTACATGAAATGTAGTGATTAGGATATATCATGTTATATGCCTTTGCAAACTTATGGGCAATTTTTCTGGTGCATTCAAGAACCGAGGTATTCAGCACCAAGGACAGATCAAAACAGATAGATTTTCCCTTCATTTGATATTTTTCTACACTGTACCTAGGGGAGCTAGTACATGATGTTTAGTGATTAGGCCACACCGATTTAATTTTATGGATGACATCCGCGCGCGCATTGATTTTTGCCCGATCTGAAAAAAAAAAAAAAAAAGATCACGTATTCCGAGGCTCTGGCCTGGCTTTAGGCCTGGGTAGTGCATGGTGGTGATAACTCTGGTTGACGGCGGCCAGGCTACCGAAGCTCCAAGACTCAAGAACTCAGTACATACGCACAGCAGTGTCGATTCATATATTCCGCAAAAATCCAGCATGTGTCGGCCTGTCGTATACGTCGCTGTGTAATGCGCCAAATTCACAATACCAGGTTTGTATTCCTGTGGTTTTGTAGCATTTTTATTTTTGGCCGGATTTTTATTTTTTTTTGCCCGCGCGCACTAGTTTAGGGGTCTTCAGAGGATGTCATCCATAAAATTAAATCGGTGTGGCCTTAGAATATATCATGCTGTATGGCTTTGGGAAGTTATGGGCAATTTTTCTGGTGAATGCATGAAACGAGGTATTCAGCACCAAGGACAGGTCAAAACAGAAAGCTTTTCCCTTCATTTGATATTTTTCTACACTGTTACCTAGGGGAGCTAGTACATGAAATGTGGTTATTAGGATATATCATGCTGGATAGCTTTGCAAAGTTATGGGCAGTTCTTCCGGTGAATGCAAGAAATGAGGTATTCAGCACCAAGGACAGGTCAAAACAGAAAGATTTTGCCTTCATGTGATATTTTTCTACACTGATACCTAGGGGAGCTAGTACATGATGTGTAGTGATTAGGATATATCATGCTGTATGGCTTTGCAAACTTATGGGCAATTTTTCTGGTGCATTCAAGAACCGAGGTATTCAGCACCAAGGACAGGTCAAAACAGAAAGTTTTTGCCTTCATTTAACATTTTCCCAGACTGATTTTATAATATTATGATTGTTTAAAAGAGCAATGACATCACATCAGGGTTGAAAATACTTCTTTCTGCATACATGTACATGCACTGGTTCAGGTAACATTGAAAATTACCTACACCACAATTTAGGAAGTATGGTTGATAAACCATTAACATGATTTCTTTCTTACTTAATAGTTGGTAACAATGCTCAATGCACCTAGTATTTTGAGCCCTATATGCTACAGTGTACGTATCTTAAAGTTTGCAAAGATTTTTCATTGAGGTTATGAGGGAAGAGGTAAGGGTCAGACAAGATGTTTTATCTAATGTTAATTGGATTTTTTATTCTTTACAGTACCAGGGAGTGATGGAGGTTTTAGAGTCATTAGAACAGATGAGACTGAAGGCCATCTACAGAAAATACCACCCAAACGTCCGCATCAAGGGAAATGCCAAGAAATGGTAAGACTTAGGAACAAGAATTTGAAGTTGGACTTTTTGTTTGATCTGCAAGTAAAAGTACAAGATACAGTAAATTGAAAAACATTTAATGTAAAACTAGACAGCATCTGCCAAGAAGAAGTAGGACTTTGCAACAACATCATGGTAATTTTTAACCTTCTCCCTGCTGATTAACCCTGTAGCCGATGGAGAATTGTTGGCCAAGTGGCTACTTCAGTATGCTGAAGGTTAATCTCCAAGTCAAAGTAAAAATACCACAAAAACATTCTGTAAAACTGGCCAAACACTACTGTAACAGCTAATTTGAGATCTTGTTTTGCATGCACATTATGTTTACAACCATATACAATTGTAATGGTATCATGGATTTACTGATAACATGACTTAGTCCAAAACCATTGCAGTTTTCCCTTTTAACATGTGTTTGTAGTTTTTATGACCATTGCTAAGGCCACACCAATTTAATTTCTTGGTTAACGGATTTTTCTAGAAAAATAATGGAGCGGGTGGGCGAAAAAAAAAAACAGGCCTAGGCATCCTATTATGGCCCAAAATGGTACGATAGCAGCCATGAAGTCAACACACCAGGCTGGTTCAAAATTCAAACAATGAATTTTGAGCTTTTAATGATATCATTGCATTGAAAGATGGAATGACTGTAACAACAAGGATGATAAGGACTGTTTTCAACTGTTCAGAGCAAAATATGAGCATTTTGCAGTTGATTCTGAATTTTTATTTTTATTTCCAAATCAGAAAAAAATGAAGCGGGTGAATCCGTTAACCAAGAAAGTAAATTGTTGTGGCCTAATAGGACATAATGTATTTCTCAGGTGGGGATTTGCCCAGACTGCAGTACTGGAGGAAACTGTCAGGCGGCGATGTCAGATGTGGTCCTGGAGGCACATCCGCAGCCACAGGGAGAAGTGCCGCATGTACAAGAGACTCTACAAACAACGTCTGGTGCAGAAAAAGGCTTCAACTGACCTGCTCAAGCAACTGGATGTAAGACTTAAAGATCTTCTCAGTTTTAGGAATTCTGTCTCAAAAAAGATTTGTATTGGTTATGTCCTGGAGGCACATCCGCAGCCACAGGGAGAAGTGCTGCATGTACAAGCGACTCTACAAACAACGTCTGGTGCAGAAAAAGGCTTCAACTGACCTGCTCAAGCAACTGGATGTATGTTTTAGCAATTTCGTCTCAAAAAAGATTTGTGTTGGTTTAATCCGATTCAAACTCTAACTACTAGTATTTGTTGGTTATGTCCTTAGTGCTGAAATTTTATCAGATGCTGTTATCACATTGTTTTATCACATTGTATTATCATATCTGATTGTTTTATCAGATGCTTTTATCAGATTATCAGATTGTTTTATCAGATTATTTTATCAGATTGTTTTATCAGATTGTTTTATCACCATGGTTTTACCATATAGTTTCATCATATCTATTCAACATATCAAGCTACATTTAGTTTTAATTTCTTCTAAATGTGGTGCATTGATATATATACATGTATATGATATGAAGTAGCAGTGGTGTACTGGTGAGTTTGGTTAAAAGGAAAGAACTCAAAGTGTTCTATGTATCTCTACTAAACTAAAGATGGAATTTGAGCAATGCAAATGTTATTATTAAAAAATATTGAGTTTGGTACTTATAATTAATTACTACTCCAGTCAGGACTAGTCATCATGGCATCGTATCACAAAATGTTGACTGTAACAAAAATATTGGCACAGAAAATTGATGGAAACTGATAAAACAATTAACTTTACCTTATGTTTATTTCCTCTAGGCCCTGGAGGATGATCTAGACGTTTTCAACATCACCGTCAACAGACAACAAGCAGAGATGCAGGTAACCATAGCAATAAACAAACAAACAAACAAACAAACTGTATACGACTTGTCAGTCAAACCTTTAGAAATCAACATTCAGATTTCAAGGGCTGTAAAGAAGCTTTATATGTGACAAGATATATCACTGTGACAGTACTCTACATGTAGTGTATTGTTTATTATTAGACTAGGAATTAACTAGTATGTACATGTACATTATGTAGTAAATTTAACGATAGTCTATGGCCATGAATGGGTAAACCGGTTAATAAAATGTTGGCAACTTTAAGGAGCTTTACACAGAGTTTTTATCCAGAAAAGTAACTGTGACAAGATAATTTTCTGCCATTTAAACCTAGCATTTCTCACTAACTACACATTTAAAGAATCTTGAACAGTGAGAAATAACAACAATTAATACCCTGTTGATCGAATCTCTATGCACATTACAGTCATGATAAAGACATTTAAACTGTTAGACTGACGTTTTCCCAATAGAATTGCACATTTCCTAGGTTAGCACCCCAGGTAAGTCAACTAGAAATTGTATTACATAATCATTAAAGTTGCTGTTTTTTCTGATAATTTTTCTGATGTTTATTCTGATAATCCTTCAATTGTGTTTTCTACCTGAAATCCTATTTGAAATATGTGATAAACAATCATTGTACCGTATGTCCAACTTGGCTATACTGTAAATGCCATGGTTTGTACTAGTCTGTTATACATGATTGTATATGCTAAAGTATGGATGGTGTTTATTACAGTATTATACATAATCTTTTCCCTCAATCCCTTGATAAGACTGCTTCATTCCTTGTTGCACATATTACCTTGCACCTTTCCTTTCAAAGAAGTAAAATGAAGAAATCCCTGCATTGTAATGTACTTGTCTAGCAGTATGTATAATGTTCACGTGATCCTTGCTAAATTTCATCCCCTTCACGCTGCGTATTTAGCTGCCTTTCAAGGTAACTATGCCATATGACATGTTTCAAGATATGCAATTTCAGCATTTCAAATCAAGACATCAGATTCACAACTTCAGCATCAATGCTTGTTCTGCATGTGCATGGCCAAGGTTTTGCTTGATGTTGTGTATTGAAAAGTTTCAATGGTGTGCTTGAATGTTTAGACATAGCTTGCTTGTTTTTTCCATGTTTTGTCAACCAATTGTACTGTAAACTTTGAAATGTTTATGTCTCTTACTGTGAAATCATAACACTGAACATTTGCTTTGTTATTCCACCATGGTAGAGAATTGATTCAGCCACAAACTTCAAATGCCACAAAAACCTCTTTTTCCCTGCATACATTCATTTACAGTAATGAATTTTCCATCTTCATCAGGGGGTATTTAATATAATAAAAATAAGTGACTGAGACATAAAGATCTTGTGTTTTGGTACCAAGGTGATTCGGTCAGGAGCCGTCATCAAGGCAAAAAAATCAGCCTTCCAAGAGGAGAAGGAGAAGAAGGGCTTCTTCAGTTCTGGTCCATCAAGCTGGTTTGGCAAGAAAGAAGAGAAACAAGAAATAAAAGGTATCGCTGTTACATTGTATACAGTAATAATTAGCAGATTTATGGGTAGAACAGCCTGGTTGTATTTGCATGTTTGTTTTGAATATTAAGTAAACAGTTAACCTCAAGGCATGATGTATCAGTTTTGTGCAGTAAGTGATGTTACAATTAAGAGCCAAGCAAGTTAAGTTAAGAGTTAAGAGCCAAGCAAGAGGTAGTCTCGAACGTCCTCCTGTGGAAACCGAGGGGCTGAGTGCATTCCAGAAGTTTGACTTTCACAGACTCTTTGTTTAAAGACACTGGTATTGACTTTAATTGTTTAGAAAATGCTATGTTAGACAAGGATCTATGGAGAGAAATCTGTACTTGTTTGGTCCCGGCTGGACAGGCTGACAATAGATAGATAGATAGATGGTACAATTGTGTACCACATAACTCACTCAAACTGGGGCAAAACCCCCTTCCCTTATTGATGTGTTGGCTAGCATTTTTTATTACTTTAAGGGGTAGGTTCGAATCGAACCCTTGCCCTAATAAGTGTGACTTGTACAATTGAGGTAAATCAGACCGTTTATTATTGACATATGAAATTCAATATCTAAGACAGCTATAGCTACCAACAACATACTAGCTATAGCCTGTGTTTGTTGATACATTGTATAGTGTTCTAGTTCTACATTTTTGCTCTCTTTCTCTCCATGTAGAACCAGGAGACCTGATGTCAGCTGAAGAGAAAGCCAAGCTGTATTCTGCCATCGGCTACAGCGAGAACCCAACTGAAATTACTACATTCCCACCAGAGGTCTGCAACATGTTTGATATTAACATTTTAAAAGTTTGAATTTTTATTATTGTCATTATTTTCTGAAATGGCAAAGCAGACAATCCCTGTAAGAGATTCAGAATCTATTATTAGAAGCCACTCATCAAACTAATAAGCTCTTGACGGATTTTTAAACTCAAGACCTTATCATAATTATGCACTTTACATTTGACACCAATTGACTTTCTATAACTTCTGTAACTTGCATTTCTTTTGTTCCACAGTATGTTGAGAACAAGCTGATCTTCACATTGGGTAAAGTAACATTGGAGATCCAAGACAAGACACGACAGTAAGGGACACATTTCTACTATGTAACAGTTACAATATGTGCCTTGAAGGTTTCATATCATGTCATGTGATTTTAGTACAGTAACTATATCTATGGCCCCGTAGCCCTCCCTGATCCTGCCCCCACTCGTAGCCCACCCTGATCTTCCCCCACTTGTAGCCCAACCTGATCTTCCCTCCACTCGAGGCCCTCCCTGATCCTGCCCCCACTCGTAGCCCTCCCTGATCTTCCCTGATTTCCGTGTATACTCATCTAAGATTCCCTATGTCTGAATGTCCTCACACACTTTTTTTTATAAGTTTGTATAAGTCACATATCGCAGAGTAGAACTCACTGTCACCAAGTACAGTAGGGGCACTGTCATTAGATAGCTTCAAACAATGTCTAGAGTTAGATGTTCAAGGGTTAGGTGTAACAAGTCGATCGGTGTAATGTAGCCAGCTGCTGCTGTGCCGCGTGCCTGCGAAGCTGAAGTACAATTATACCAGCTATACAGATACAGAAGCCGCTATACAGATAGAGATACATATTATAATGTTGTAATAATTGTTGTTTGTACTTTTACAGGGAGCCCCAGATCCTGGTGGTGTCTCTGACAGACATGTACACCTGTGTGCAGCAACGGCCGTCAGCACAGGCAGTCATGTAGGGAACCTATATTACACATTTATCATTGATACTTAAATACGTTATTACCGTAGGCACACTGTAGCATGCATACAGTAGTCCAGTGGTTCGTGACCCTACTCTGGGTCTGGAGTTTGAATCCCAGTTGTTACTGCATGCTACTGGAATGGGTTGCAGTGTTAAAACAGGACATTAAGCTGTGGTCCATTGTGCTTGAAGAGGAACTAGCCTACTTTCATCAGAACAATGAATATGCCTTTACTGTACACATCATCTGTCTTTCCTGTTAGTGGAAGGCTAGCTTTTCGGTGAACTAAACTGGTGCGAGATCACTTTTGCTATCTAATATATGCTCTTCTAGTACATGTATATCAAAAAGCTAAGGGTGTACATGACTATCTTCGCCCTGTTACGCATTAATCCCATCATTCCTTGCAAACTGGAGAGGTTTGTAACGCGATACTAAAGTGATATTTGTGTACAGGATCACCAAAAGGATAAATTTAAGTTGGATCTGTGGAAGGTTTAATATGACCAAGGGTGATAGATGACACACTGTCATATGTTATTTCATTTAAATAACATATGGCACTAAAAGTACAACTTAAAAAATAAGGTATGAAACTCGGGGAAGAATTGTGTTCAAAACCACCAAGATTTCTGCAAGAATCTCTAGCTATAAAAAATCCTCAGCAAGAGTTATTTAAACATGTTGTTGTTGGCTTCTTCTTCAAGATCAAGTAGTACTTGAAAATGGTTCAAATCAAATTTTTCGAACCCTGTGGTAATCTTAGGAGCACAGGATTTAAAATTTTCTTTTCTATATATATATTGTTTTGCTTGCTTTGATTTAATTGTTATCTATTCTGATTTTCTTGCTTATTTTCCCTTGTTTTAAGATAATTTGTTTATTTCCCATCAATTGGTTTATCATTTTTCAGATCATAATCTTGCATGTTTTGCTTTCATTATGTTGTTCTTCAGTATCTCATATTATCTTGTATCTGTAAATTGTATTTTGATTCTTAAAATTCAAATTTGCATCAGGCATTATTAGAATATGAATATAAAGTACAATCATAATCATGATGCTATTATGCTTAAAACATACAAAATCATGAAATTTCATATCAACATGTACAGACTGTACAGACATTGATGGCACAAAGTGATTTGGGTTAAGATTAACAATTTTTACTTCTTGCTGAAATGTCATCCATATACAGGTTGAGCCCAATCAAAGACAGGAAAAAGCTTCCCGATCATGTTGTCCTGCAGACTGCAGCACATAAAGCCAGGGAAATAAAAGCAAAAAGTTTCTGGTAAATCTTCAAGCTTCAGCCAGTGGTGTACATGGTACTGTGTTGGGCATCTACGTTAACTCTGCACTCAGTCTTGCATATCATCATCATCATCATTATGGTCACCACAACTGTTACTTGTACTAAGGCAGGCTGTCCAGTGGTGCTGTCTCTTGTCAGCTGCTAATGTTGTTGCAAGGTTTCTCTCTACTGTCCTCCAAGTTCTTGCTTGACGATGTCTCTTTCCTGGTCTGTTCCTGAGTTTGGAGCCACCCTAGCCACATGTACTGATCATGAGACAGGCTGTTTCTGTTTTCCATTGTCTCTTGTCAGCTGCTTGTCATTGCAAGGTCTCTCTCTACTGTCCTCCAAGTTCTTGCTTGGCGATCTCTCTGTCTCTTTCCTGATCTATGCATGAGTTTGATGCCACCCTAGCTATATGTACTGATCATGAGGCAGGTTGTCGTTGCGTGGTCTCTCTCTACTGTCCTCCAAGTTCTTGCTTGGCAATCTCTCCGTCTCTTTCCTGGTATGTTCCTGAATTTGTTAAGCTACCCTGGCTACATGTACTGAGGCAGGTTGTCATTCTTTTCTATTGTCTTTGTGGGCTGCTAGTCATGCTCCAATCTCTGCAAGGTCTTACATATCATGTACATCATCATCATCTGTCATCATCATAATCATTATCATCATCGTCTGTCATTGTGCCTCCTCCCTTCCACAACGCATCTCTACAAGGTCTTGCTGTACTGCCCTCCAAGTCAGTTGGCCGCCTCTCTTTCTCTTCCATTGTTGGTTCCAGTTTACAGCCAGCCTCTAGGTAGTTGCACCCCTGGCATTCTTTCGCGACGTGAGCAATCCCCCCCCCCAGCAGTCTTGCTCTATTGCATGCGTGTACTTGTGGACAGTTTGACTTTTTGTTGTTACGTGTTGTTTCATTCTTATGACACTTGCACTGTGTTTTTTTGTTGTGTATAGTCATCAAGGCATACACCAATTTTGTATACAGTAAGTACAAGTTACATCAGACCAGACTGATATGTTTTGTCCACTCACACTGGGACCTCTTACTTACTTACTGTTTACATCTCTACAATGACACCCCACAATATGAGCTAATAAGAAAGTTAAGAAAGTAAGGAACTTTGAAATTTCAATGAAACCCTATCCTTCTCTTTGAGAGCGTTGAGAAAGCATTAAATTTGAGACTGTAATAGGGCAAATAAAAAAAAATATCAAGCATGACTTAGTACTGGTAGTACAAGTCATGTGGTATATTTAAAACATTGATATCTAAAATTGTTGCAACTTTTGATGCAGTAAATGAGGCAACTTTTACAATCATATGGTTTTATTTTTATGTTTTATGTGGAGACCTCTCTACCATGAATTCAGTACACTACAAATACATGACACATTGATTCAATCTATACTTTCCTTGTATGACTTTTGTACTATACTGTGTACATATTATTTAAAAGACAGTCACTGTCACAGTCATAACATTTATTTATTTCCTACTGCAATATAAAACCACTGCAAAAGTTTCACGATTTACAGTAACTATAACTTGAAAAATGTGTATAACAAGTCTTCTTCAAATTGGAAGCTTTCATGCCCTCATAACCAACATACATGTACTTTACACATAAATTGATGTATAAAACTTTGCATGTACATTTGCATAAATGGGAACGTTTCATGCTCCCCAAGAAACATGTAACATACATTGTCCTTGATTGTTGTTTTCCAGGGTTGAAGCTAAGATGGACCAGATGTCGGTGTACGGGATGCCCCAGAACGGACAGATACCAGAGATGGTGGCTTCCCAGAACATCCAGGCCGACCAGCACTACGCCCTGCTCAGCCTGCACTTCGAGACCAATCCGCTAGATGGCAAGGCTGACACACGGGTGGATGTCAACGCCCAACCCTTGCAGATAGTGTACGATGCTGTGAGTGACACTGACTAGTATTTCTTGTTCCACCATTTGTTATACTACATGTAGTCATGCCTTCAAGTACCAGAGTTACCAACCAAGGATTGAGGTGTTTAAGAATTCATTCTTTCCTAGAACAATCGCAGAGTGGAACTCACTGTCACCAAGTACAGTAGGGGCATTGTCATTAGATAGCTTTAAACTATGTCTAGTGTTAGATGTTCAAGGGTTACAAGTTGATCGGTGACAAGTTGATCGGTGTAATGTAGCCAGCTGCTGCCACGTCGTGAGCCTTCGAAGCTGTTGTGTTACACTGAAGGGCGGTTATACCAACTATACAGATACGGATAGTCTGGTCTATTATGATGATAATGGACCAGAGCATGAAGCAGCTTTCTTTTGTACATGAATTTTGAATGATTTCATGATTTTTTTGTTTATAATATTCTTCCAGGAAACAGTCAACTCAATAGTGGACTTCTTTAGGCCACCTGAAAATGTTCATCTCCAAGAGTAAGTTTACTCTTCTTTTAAATTAATGATTACAGATATCCAGCAGCAAATATAGATAATTGCTTCATCATTTAAATGGAAACAGTAGCTCAGATCACAGACCATCCAGTGCCGAAGATACATGTAAAAATTTCTACTGCCATACCAAAGTCAATTACCAGGTGCCCAAAATCGATCTTCACCATCTGGTTCACCCCAGCTACCTACCTACTAAATACTATTAATATATAATAATACTATCACATTCATCCGGCAGATCTTAGGATATACCCCCACACATGATTCAGACCAAAAACAGTACCTCCATTTTTCATGGAGATAAGGTAATTCTGCAGATGACATACCAGTTCTGCTGTAATATGTAATTTACTTTCATATAATTGTTGCTAACTATGTAATAAATATGCTTTTTTGCCATTTCTTACAAGCTTGACGTCTGCGGCAATGTCCAAGTTTGAGGAGTTCCGTGAACAGACAGCTACTGGCCTGCAGCACATGATCTCTGTAAGAAAGGTGACAGATGTACACGTAGACCTGAAGTCATCCTACATCATCCTACCACAGAACGGCTTCTACACTGAAGGGTAGGGATTCCTCCATCATGTTTTTGTGTGATATTTTTTTATTGTTTGAGACAGAACCTAGGTCATCTATTATCATCATATTTAAGAAAATTATGTGATTTACAGTCTGATATCTAGTGATTTTTAACAAAGATGAATGAATTTAACTGTTACTGTAGTCACTGTCATAATGACAGTGGAAAAATTGGTCATCTAGTAAAGAATTGCTTCCACTCATATGTTGTTTGACCATATTGTCTACCAGCAGTGTACTTTCTTAGAATACATTGACATTACCATATGTTCAGAGAAAATGAAAATAAGCATTTTGAAGGAACAGTTACTATTATATAACAGTTATTGTAATTATCTATCATACATTTTAAATTTAACCTTTCTTTTATGCTTCTTCTTTGAATTTACTAAACATAAGATAATTATATGAGCATTTGAATTAGTGATGTTACAGATAGATCGTTCAGCACCAAGGACAGGCTTGGTACAACAGTCAATGTACAATGACATAACATTTTGTTTACCCTACAGGCAGTCCAATGTTGTTGTTGTTGACCTTGGTTCACTCCGCGTGGACAGTGTCAAGGACACCCTGCCTGCTCCCTTAGCTAAGGCCAAGGTCAGTAACAAACAAACAAACAAACAAACAAACAAACAATATTTACTTTTAGGTACATGTATGTCTGCACTAGAATGGCCTTACGTTTCCATGTGCTGTCTTCCATGTCTAAGTTGATAGATTAATAAGTTAACAGCTTCAAGTCTGTTGTTCAATAACTAATCATTAACAGCACTAAAACATGTCATCACAATGTTTGATGCATTGCCTTCTTCTTTGCATCATGTCCTTGTACTTTTTGTGCTTGACTAACACCTAGTATTTTCACCTGCATGTGTAACGGTTACTGTCCTGGGTGCATATTTCTGGTTCTGCATGCTATGTGCCTTAAGCCCTTGTCACACATAGCCAAATATGGCCTCCTGAACACTGCCAAACTCCCACCAATCATGGTTAGTACATAATAGTTTGGATGGGAGCAATGTCGGCTGTGGTTGGCTGGTGTTTGGTGAGGTCGGCTACTGTTTCTCTGTGCCAGCCAAATATTTTATAAAATGTTTACAACATTTTGCTGATGTTTGTTAGTACATTATTAGGTCAGCAGTGTTCAGGGCACGTTCGGGGTAAAATTTGACTCAAATTCAACTCACATTCGATTTGATTCACATTGAAAGATGTGGCCTAAATCTGGCTGCTCCCAAACTTTAGCCAACTTTGGTTGGTTGGTGTTCAGGGGAAGGTTCTGAATGTGTGACAGGGGCTTTACCATTAGTAAGGAATGCTATTCTAATAAGGCTCTATGGTGTTTCTTTACGTGTGCACTCATAGGCTGTTTTTTCTTGACCAGGACTTGTTCACTAGGGTGATAAAAAAACGCCTCTCTCGGAGGAAACCCCCCCAGCCAGCTAGATTGGTAGATTCCGATGACTGTAGATGTAGTGCCGTGTCTGTCATGTCTTAGTGTTCCTTCTTCTGTCATCATCAGTTCTTCAAATACATGACTTACACACTAACACTTACAATCTCTCACATTCTTACATTTCTTACATACATACTACATAAAACCACTGCTCTTGTTCATTTTCACTATCCTGTTAATTAATCGCTTTTCCAAGTAAGGGATATATTAGCTACTAAAGGATGCATGGGAAGCTAGAGTTGAGGCTACAATTTAAGAAGGTTGACAATGAGGTCAACATTGACATATCGTCACTGTGTCTCTCTCTGTCTCTCTCTCTCTCTGTCTCTCTGTCTCTCTTTCTTTTTCTCTGTCCTTTCTTGTCTGCTTCAAACTTGTACCAGTTCTCCATTTTTCTGTCTTTCTCTCCATCTGTCTTTCACTCTGTCTTTTCTTCTAAAATTTGCTTGTTACTGTCAGAGAGCATTTTGGATCAAAATGACTCCCACCTGTGCCAACAAGTATTCAAACTAAACTCTTGTATCTTATTGGCCAGCACTGTCTAAGTTCAAAAATGGAAAGATACAATGTATTGCTCATATTTGAGATGATAGACCATGAGCTCACTGTAAAGTCATAAAAGAATGCCCAATTTTTTTTCTATCATGACATCAAATAAGGCTGATTTTACGATGACATGTACAAAATGAAGATTTAAGTTCATAAAGCGGGTCATGAAATGCGATCATTTCATGCTTAAGATTTGCATATCACGTATCTGAGTATTCTAGCAGGAACAATCCAAGTTTCCTACAGTTTTCATACATATCCCAGACCTTATTGTATGAAAAAAATCTAGACCTGTAATTCTGACCAGGTTTTTTACCCTTTATGCAGCTGGGAACAGTGGAAGAAGTCATGAGTCGTGCTTACGACAAGTTTGACATCCGGGTTCAAAGTGTACAGGTCATCTTAGCTGCCAAAGGTCAGTCTTGTCCTAATGTCATCACTGACCACTTCTGATGTGGTTACAGCTACTGTATTGCATGGCTTAGCTTGTATATACTGATGACTATGGTTCCAATAAATATATCAGATTCTATGGATGGAAATTATTGTACAGTAACATTACCTCTGAAAATCCAAATGTACAGTGGTCACATTAGCCTTTAGTTATTATTATTGCCATAAAACACTGTAATGGAAAGAACACAAATTTCTGAGCCATTTTGACAACATTCAGTGGAAAAAATTTAGTGACGTTTGTTGAAATGTGTACATGTCAAAAATATTTACAGACATTCACTGATTCTGAAGGAAATACAGGAACTTCAAGTCAAACCAAGCAAAATACAGAATAATGCATTTTCTAATTTTTACAGAATATAGGTGCAAAGTAGTGCAAGTGCTTTACTTGTCTTCTAGGTGGAGACTGGAGGACTGCCCGACAGGAAGCTAACACAAAGCTGCATGTGATTCAGCCCATGGGTCTGGATGTGCTGCTGCAGAAGTGTATGGTGGACAACGATGTCAGGATGCCAAAGTATGTATTACTAACAGAACCCCAAGAGTGTGTTAGTGTGTTTGGTGCAGTGGGCTTGGCTGTAAAAAGTCAAGCCATAGCTAAGCCCCATTGCACTATCAACTTCATAGAAAGAAAAAGCATTATTCAAGCATTTTTTTTTTAGTTTAACAAGAGAAGAAGTGATTATTACTGTTGTATAGTAGGCAGAAAGAATTATGAAAATGTAGCGTTACACTACATTTTTATAATTCTTTCGCTGTTGCTTTAGGCGCTATCATAAGATGCCTAGGTCTGTTTTTTTCCCTGTTACTTCATATTTTTTCGGAAAACAAAATCAGAGAACCAACAAATAAAATTGGTGTGGCCTTATCATGTTTTTATAACATCCAGAATAAAATGTTCATATAATAACATGAAGTTTGTTGTTTTAGCATCAAGGTTTCTGGAAACCTGCCGCTGATCCAACTGAACATGTCGGACAAGAAGCTACAGGAAATCCTCAGTCTTGTACAGAGTATCCCCCTCCCACCACCTCCCGCTGCCCCCCAGCAGACTGAACAGGAACTGCAGGTACATGGCAGAGATAATTTCTCACTCTTTGCTCTAAAGAAAAAAATCTGAACTGCCTTCCACTTCTGTGCTCTAGACACACTGGATTAACTTAACCCACTGCCCCTTATGGCCTCAAAAAGGCTATCTGACTTCTTTTACCTTTAAGTTTTTACCAAAGGTGTACATATTTCAAATAGAGATGTTGCTAGTTAATGTTCCTAATGATGACGATGGAGATGATGGTAATGATGATGATGATGATGATGGTGATGATGATGATGGTGGTGATGATGATGATGGTAATGATGATGATGGTGATGATGGTAACAGTGATGATGGTGATGATGATGGCAACAATGATGATGATAACGGTAACTGATGATGGTGATGATGATGGTGATGATGGTGATGATGATAATGGTAACTGATGATGATGATGATGATGATTGTGATGATGATGATGATGATGTTTTCCCCAGGTTCCAGTACGTCTGGCCGTTGACGACAGTTCCTCAACAAACGTGTTCAAAGTGGTCAGCAGTCTGGCAGTGGGGAAGGTTGCAGAAAGTAGGTTATTTTAACACTCATTATCAATATGACAAAATAAAACTGCCTTAGACCCTCTGATAATGATAGTATTACATAATTTGTAGAGACATCAGACAGTAATGAAATGATTTTTTGCTTCTAAGCTTCGCAAGCACAATGTGCCGTTCAAACAGAGTGTTTTTAAATGGTCTATTTTTCATTTTATTGAGACATGCTATCATTCTATTGGGGTGAGATATGCTGCTCTGTGCAGGTGAACATGCTATTGTTCTATACAGCTGCAATGGACCATTGTTTTGTTCATATGCTATTGTTCTATCCAGGTGAGAGTGAAGAGTCCATCTACCTGTCAGCGGAGGAGGATTTTCACACGTCTGACTCCTCAGGTGGGCAGACTCCTGTGGGAGGTGTCCACTTTGGGGACTTGGTGGTTATAGGAACCGAGCATGAATTATGACTCCATATAGGTCATTAACCCTACATGTATATTCTTCTATCCAGGTGAGAGTGAAGAGTCCATCTACCTGTCAGCGGAGGAAGATTTCCACACGTCTGACTCCTCAGGTGGGCAGACACCTGTGGGAGTTCGCAGGCTGCCGTCACAACAGAGCTTTGAAGAGGGACAACAGAAAACAGAGCTAGAGCTGCATTTCGAGATCAAGGAGGTAAAAACAACCTCTGTGTATGATTTGTCTTTAAAATACATGTGATATAAAGCTATGGGTTATGAATTGCTATGAAACTGCTGTGTTGCTGGTCTCTTCTAGTGCTTAAGATGCAAAAAACAGGAAAATTCTGATGTAGAAGCAATGAAAGCCAATAGGAGACCAAAATTGTATTTTATATTGTTAACTGATTGATTTTAGCTTAATCTTTTCTTGTTAGTTTACTGTATTATTATGTTATATTGTGTATGTTTAATCTTTGTATTTGGCGCCCGAAATCAGCTATGCTGCCTGGGTGGCCAGTGTATTGTATCGTCACAATCGAATTAAAATAGAATTAAAAAAATAAGGAGACCAAAAATCAAGCTTGACCTTCGTCTTCCCAACACCTACCCACATACCAAATATCATGACCACGATTCATCCATAGCAAGGAGTTCAAACCCATGCCAAACCCTGGCTGCCAGCTCACAATGCACAGGGCTAAAAGGTCTGGACCCGTTGGATTTGTCAGTTTGTGGTGCTTGAATGCAACTGATACACAAAACTGATAATTGACATCTATATGATTGTCGTGGCATCGGTGGCGCAACGGTTAGAGCGTTGGACTCGGAACCGAGAGGTCCCGGGTTCGATACTCACCGTGGCCCGACGTTGTGCCCTTGGGAAAGGCACTTGACACGACTTCCCCACCTATACGGTGGAGTGACGCCCACCAAGCCTCTTAGGCTAATCTGTCTGTCAGGGTGCCAAAAACACCTTATGGATTTGGTGCGCCGATGTGACAACATCTCATATTGGCCACTGAGAACCGTAAAATCTTATCTTAATCTCTATATGTAATGATACCTGCCTTTCCTACAGGTCATTATCAACATCTCCAGACTACAGAATGATGTTGATGTGCAGCTGTTGAGGCTGGCAGTTCAGTCTGTAGGAGCTGAGGTCAGGAAGAGGACCTGGGACCTGTCTGCACACGCCTTCCTGGGAGGGATAGGGCTGCAGCACATGCTGTTTAAAGGTAAAGGTAGCTTCATCAGGGTGTACAGAAAGGTTGAATTGAAGCAAAATGGAACAAAATGGACTGAAATTCTTCCATTTTGCTCCATCTGCACACGCCTTCCTGGGAGGGATAGGGCTACAGCACATGCTGTTTAAAGGTAAAGGTAGCTTCATCAGGGTGTACAGAAAGGTTGAAATGAAGCAAATGGAATGAAATGGACTGAAATTCTTCCATTTTGCTCCATCTGCACACGCCTTCCTTGGGGGGATAGGGCTGCAGCACATGCTGTTTAAAGGTAAAGGTAGCTTCATTAGGGTGTACAGAAAGGTTGAAATGGAACGAAATGTAACGAAATGGACCAAAATTCTTCTATTTTGCTCCATTTCTCTCTATCTGCACATGGCTTCCTGGGAGGGATAGGGCTACAGCACATACTGTTTAAAGGTAAAAGGTAGCTTCATCAGGGTGTACAGAAAGTTCAAAATGGAGCAAAATTCTTCCCTCTGTTTTCCATTTTCTGTACACTGCTTCATTTTGCAGGTTTGGTTGTGTATTGACGTTGAAGTGGATTGCTTTAATCTGTGCTTCACTTCAATAGGAGGTGCCTGTGTTACTTAGTGCCTATTTTATACATTGTACAGATACTGTATGTTTACCTTGTTTTTTGACATTGTAGACTTACACGTATCTGTTGTGTCACACAATACAGGAACTGATGGTGGTCCATTAAGTATGATCAGTACCCCCGCTACTGGAGGGAGCTCTGCACAGCTCCTCAGTGTCCAGTACACTAAGGTACTTTTGTCTTCAAATCAACTTTCTTGTAACTATTATCCAATAGTTTTCACTGAGGCAAAAACTTTGGTTTGCCTTCTTTACAATTATAATATACAATTTAGACCTCACCAATTCATTTCCTTGGCCCTTGGAGATTTTATAGTAAAAAAAAAAAATGATAATAATGAAAAGTCTGTACAAAAACCGAGGAAAACTCAGACTTACCCTCATGCTCTGTTAACTGAGTAATATTTATTGCTATACAAAGTTGTAGCAGTAGCTGTGTAGTAGTTGGTTTATTGTTAAAACACTGCTAGTGGGTAAATCGTCCTTGCAGCAAAAGCTGAATTGCTGAGTTGTTGACATACATTTTTTCCAGGTTGAGAAGTCCAGTCCTGACTACGCCACGGTGTACAACAGCACGGAGCAACTTCTCAAGGTCGACTTCTCCACTCTCAAGGTCGTGTTCCATCGCGACGCCCTGGTGAACCTGATAGACTTTGCGGAAAGTCTGAAGCCGAGCGTGGAGGATGCTCAACAGTCACTAGGGCCGGAGAAAGAGGAGGAGAAAGCAGAGAGGGAGAGGAGCAAGTCAGGTATACATTTTTGGCAACACCTCAGGAGCAGAGCCAATTTACCTTCAAATTTACAGCTAACAAGCAAATTTATTCATACCCTTACCAGTTTTTGAGTAAAGAGACTCTTTTTACGCAACCAAGTCTTTTATTCAGCCAACGTTTCGGTGACCATCTGTCACCTTCCTCAGGGCAGTTCTGACTGGTTCACATTGCACTGCAGCACAGGTGGCGCTGCTATAGATGCATTCCCAAACGTACAATATTTACATATCTACACATATGTGTGGTTACAGGGAAATGTATCTACAATGCCCCGAGGAAGCTCAAGGTGACAGACGGTCACCGAAATGTCGGCTGAATAAAAGACTTGGCTGTGTAAAAAGAGTCTCTTTACTCAGTGACTTACCAACCTGATGAAACCATTCATGGAACTTACCAGTTATGATTACTAGGGGCATGAATGATTTTGTTGTGAACAGTTAGCATTTTGTTGTTTGTGTCATCTGTTATGGTAGAAATTGATGTAATACACAACATGTACGCTATTGTAAGTCTGATGGAGCATGTCAGCAGAACGTACCGCGCTTCCTCAAAACCCCGATTTTAACAGTTTCATCGAAATTCAAGGTCACTTTAGAATTTTGCCTGTTGCAGATAATACCCGGTGACAAAACATTTGAAAACTATAGATGGGATACGTGAATGCAACCTTAAACACAGTGCGCACTGTGGCAAAACATGCTATGCACAGAACATTATTCACTGGTTTTGCGCAGGCAAAGTACGTTCTGCTGATGTGCTGTCTGATGGTTGTTTGATTGACAATGCATGCATCCATTGAGGAAAAGGTGCACTTCACTTTTCTTGGGTAGCCTGTAAGTAATTAATACCAGTACATGTAACTGTCTAAAAAGCAAAGCATGTTTCATCTGTCCTAACTGTTTTGCAATACTGTTGGTGGTAATTCTTTGTGCTGTAACTGACTACTCAACTCGTATATGCTGTAACCGAATGTGGTGCTCATTGTTTGTTCTCTTCTTGTCCCCTGCTTTCCGCTCCTATTTCATTGGAACATTGTCCCTACAGAAGCCATCTTTGCTGCCTTTGCTGCTAAGGGTAAAATGCTAAGCTTGCTGTGCAATTCAATCACATTTTTCATAGGGCTGTGTACCTATAGTAAACATTTTCAGGTACAGTAACTGTTACAGGTGTAGAAGTTTAGGTACGGGTCAGAACCTTACCTGATAACAAGTTTGGCCAATTTGTTAGCTATATATTGTATGTAGCCAACTGTCTTTTTTTAGTGGTGAATTATCACCTTTGTATGGGGATTTACATGTTTTGCATAATTTTTAAGTGCTAAATTTTCAAAATTGTCATGGTTGAGACTTCTAGATATATCAGGATATCAGTTTGTTTAGGTACACATACAGGTTCAGACCAGTACCTACTAAACAATTTCACAGATACGATTACAGGTATACAGCCCTAGATTGTAATCTCACACATCTTCCATTGTCTGTAATGCACAAGCTGCTGTGCTTAAAAGTATATGAAAACACTATAGAAATGTAAATACTCAGAAAGTACACAGTAATTTTGTCATTTCACTTGGTCTAGCTACAAGTTTGCTACACACACTTTTACATAATCTATAATGCACAAGGTGTTTGTTATTCAGCATCAGAAAATGACATGTAATCACTGTAATATTTGCAGTAAAATGTTAGCAATATGCACAAATACTAGTACATGGCATTTTGTCAGCACATCACTACATGAAGCTACCAGACTGAGTTTGCTGCACCATGACAAAAGATATGTGTATAAGACCTGTTTCCCTCTCCAACATGATCAAAATTGCATAAAAAATAATGTTCGAATTCTCTGGTTTTCTTATAGGAGGTTGTGGTACTGAATATTCATAATGTTTCCCCTTATATCATAATTTCAGTATTTAAGTGACGATTTTATGACGAACTTCTCCATGCTGCATAACCCCCTAAACAATAGAAAATTGGTAGTCAAAATGACTACTTCTTCAGTATGGTAAAGGTCAATACCAGGTGTTAGGGCCTGTTGTATCCTGAATTGTGCTTTATCCAGAACCATGCTCGGGCACAGTTCTGTTCTGGATAGTCCACACGTATCCAGAACCAGACTTTTTTCCAGAACCATGCTTTATCCAGAACCATGGTTAGGCACAGTTCTGTTCTGGATAGTCCACACATATACAGAACCGGACTTTATTTCCAGAACCGTGCTCAGGCACTGTTCTGGACAGTCCATCCAGAATCATGCCTGAGGTAAAATCTATGTTATTGGATATGTGGAGACCATCCAGAACCATGCCTGATCCAAACCTAACCCATTCAGGCATAGAACTAGCAACAGGCACAGTTCAGGACACAACAGGGACCCGCCTCCCCAATGGACCTATACCATTAATACATTACAGTTTGTTTACCGCAATGAATGCCGGTCAATCGACGTTTATATTGTACAGGGGTGCGTAGCGCGGTGTGTGTTTGTGTAGCGTTAGCCTAATATAAGGCTTTTACTAGTAATACAGTACTACTTTCGTCTAATGTCACAACTAAATCACCCATGCGGCATGTAATGCTGTGTCAACACAACTAGACGCAGCAAAAATCAAACATACCTCACTTTGAAAACTTTGAAATGATCTTTAGTCTTTATAACTGACCGTTCTAGAATGTTCTTTAGAACAGGTAAACAAACTGACGTAATAATGGTATAGGTCCATTTCAGCACCAAGGACATCACCTAACTTCTGTATGTCCACTCCAACAGGGAAGTGGAAGAAGAAGAAGGAACAGACAGATGAGATTGACATTCAGATCGACGCCCGTCTGGACACCTTGTCTGTGGTTCTGTGTAAAGATGAAGCTACTCTAGCTGATGTACAGATCAAAGGTGTGTGTTTTTATACAGTCTTTTGAAAGGCATATTCAGTGACTAATTGCTCTTATGGTCGAATTTTGTCCCATTACTGCATTAGCAATGTAGTTTAGTTTGACTCTGACAATATAAGGAGCTTTAAGCCTCTGTCACACATTCAGAACCTTACTAATAGCTAAACCTCCTGTCCACTCCCGATTTTGAAACTTCAGCTGGTGCAGTAAAAAAGTAGCCCTCCTTGCTCCGAACCTACTCCTAACCCGGGTTGGGGGTGTTCGAGGGGCCATTTTTGGCTATGTGTAACAGGGGCTTTAGGCATATGCAGACCGTTGATTTCTAGGCAATCCAATATTGACTAAGATTTTAAAATGAAGTTTTGAAGAAATAAAGGGTTCTCCTATTTTTTTCCTCTCAGGTCTGGATGCAGGGGTTGTTGTACAAAAACACATGACTACAGTCAACACCAGCCTGAAGGACATTGTTGTACAGGATCCCACACGCAACTCTCTCTACCCAAAGGTACATACTGTGACACTCTTCCTTTGTTTGTAAGGTAATACTATCAGGCTATACAGGATAGGTTCTATTACTACCATCATGAATAGAAGCTATGTTCTACTACAGTAACTGTTTAATCATTGACATTTCTGTTTGTGTCATATAATATAATTAATTTATTCAACAAAGAAACATGATATAAATGTTTACCAAAAGAGTCCACTACCCCTGCATAATGGTACGGTCAAGTGGTCATTTATTATGATAAGGGACCGCTTATGATGATCATTTCCCAGTTGTCACACATGCTATGATTTTGTGGCATCATAACTAATTTGAAAAGATTAGTCAACCTCATCTGACTATATGATCATTTGCAATATCATTAGAAATACTCTAAATGTAAAAAAAAAATAATAATTCTTTTTTAAAAATTTTTTTCTTCTCCAGATTCTGTCCATTGTTGGGAAGGAGGTGTTTGCCCTGAACATTGTAGTGTACAATGATGCGACCAAAGGGCAGGGCTACAGTGACATGAGTGTGGTGGACACCAGTGTGGGGCTCCAGGTCGGGTGTATCAGAGTCGTCTTTCTCAACAAGTTTGTGGAAGGTCTAGTGGTGAGTACTGGTCCAGGAGTCCATGTTTTGTTTGTATGATAGTTTTAGGTTTGCTGGTATCTTTGATACAATGTACATTCATCCATTTATTCACTGTCTCATTTAATCACTCTCTTACTCATGCCATTTTTTTCCTTTACTTAATAATTCATTCACTATCCTTCAGTCTTTCACTTATTCATCCATTCACTCTCTTAATCATTCAATCTGTCATATATTCTTTTATTCTGTCACTCATTCTATCTTCCATCCAATCACTTCACATTGGAATGTTCAAGTCTACAAATGTAAGTTCTTTAGCTTTGTTGATAACATATACAATGTAGGCTATACATATGAGAGGAGGATGATCATAATATTGTACAGCTGATCTCTCTCCTCAGTTTTTCTAGATAGGTACCTAACTTGGTGAGCACAGTGGATCAAATGTTACAACAGGAAGCTTATGGCGTCCTCTGTCTCTTCTAGGCCTTTGGGAATGAGTTCCAGGCTGCCAAAGATGCTGTATCCGAGGCCGGCGCCCAGGCCACTCAGGCTGCCCTGGAGAGTGCCAAGGACTTCTCCAAAACCAGCACCAGGCTAGCACTGGACATCTCTGTCAACGCACCTGTCATTGTCATCCCACAGTCATCTACAAACAGGTAAGAACACCATGCACCTATCATTGTCATCTCACAGTCATCTACAAACAGGTAAGAACACCATGCACCTATCATTGTCTTCCCACTGTCATCCTCAAACTGGTAAGAACATTAATTATTATATTTATGTTTACTACACAACTATGTAGCATTTTACCTGCCCACTTAAAATGTTTTTAGGGCTGCAGTCTTGTTCATACAAGCCTTTTTTTGTTTCAGGCAAGCTCTAATAGCTGACCTGGGAAAGCTGACAGTACAGAACAGCTTCAGAATCAGCGGAGATCCCAACAAGGATGTGCCTGCTGTCTTAGACAGCATGAAGATTGACCTGACAGCATTGAAAATGTCCAGGTAGGTCCTGTGTTCAACATAGCCTGGCACCCATCCTATCCTAGGGCCTGTCCTTAGTGCTGAAATGTGATCCTATCCACCCCTGCTACAGTACATGGTCCTGTCCTTAGTGCTGAAATGTGGTCCTACCCTACCACCCCTGCTACAGTACATGGTCCTGTCCTTAGTGCTGAAATGTGATCCTACCCTACCACCCCTGCTACAGTACATGAACCTGTCCTTAGTGCTGAAATGTGATCCTACCCTACCACCCCTGCTACAGTACATGGTCCTGTCCTTAGTGCTGAAATGTGGTCCTACCCTACCACCCCTGCTACAGTACATGGTCCTGTCCTTAGTGCTGAAATGTGCTCCGTATCCACCCCTGCTACAGTACATGGTCATGTCCTTAGTGCTGGAATGTGATCCTACCCTACCACCCCTGCTACAGTACATGGTCCTGTCCTTAGTGCTGAAATGTGATCCTACCCTACCACCCCTGCTACAGTACATGGTCCTGTCCTTAGTGCTGAAATGTGACCCTATGCTGTAAAGCACGTTGGCAAAACATACTGCGCCTGCGCAAAACTCACAATTTCCATTGTTTTTTTTTCAACATTGCACTAGAATTTTGCCTGTTGCAGAGGATGTTTTTTCCGGTATGACATTTGGAAACTACAGACGGAGTGATAACCTTACATGCGCAAGGATGACCTTATATGAGACGTTCTGCCAAAGTGCTATGCACAATACATTACGGGTTTCGCGCAGGTGCAGTACGTTCTGCCGACGTGCTATGCTGTAACCCCTACTACTAGTATACTATCAGAGAGTGCCAAGAGCTTTGAGCACTGATTTGTTTCACAGTTTTTTTCCCAACCCAACCTTTCAGGGGCCTGATAGAGAATGATGAGTGCAGGGCAGAGATCCTGCTGATAGAACCTGTGAACCTGCGTCTGTCCATCACACGTAACCTGGCCGCTGCCTGGTACAGAGACGTACCGGAGGTGGACATATCAGGAACACTGGAGGCTATCAATGTATGCTGCTCATTTGTTTTCAATCTTTTATTCAGATATCAATGTCCAAAGTTAGCTTTTTCATCCATTTCCAAGACATAAGTTAGCTTTTTCATCCAATTCCAAGACATAAGTTAGCTTTTTCATCCAATTCCTAGACATAAGTTAGCTTTTTCATCCAATTCCTAGACATAAGTTAGCTTTTTCATCCAATTCCAAGACATAAGTTAGCTTTTTCATCCAATTCCTAGACATAAGTTAGCTTTTTCATCCAATTCCTAGACATAAGTTAGCTTTTTCATCCAATTCCTAGACATAAGTTAGCTTTCTCATCCAATTCCTAGACATAAGTTAGCTTTTTCATCCAATTCCTAGACATAAGTTAGCTTTTTCATCCATTTCCAAGACATAAGGTAGCTTTTGTATCTATTCCCATGATATAAGACAAAATATGACATTGCTCCATTGCTTGTTCTTTTTCCCTTTCTCTAAAATTGTATTATCTACTTCGTATTAATTATCCTTCAGCTAACAATGCAATTATGACATTAACACTAACAGCTTTAAAAAGTGTCATCTGACACACTCTTTGATATGTATTTATATGTATAGAGACAATGATGATCACAGTATCTCAACTGTATTTCTTCTAAAATATAAGATTCATACCATAACGCACTGGCTTTCTGTATGGGTTACTTTTTTTTTCACGGAGTGGTTCAATGCAAGGCCTATACGACCACCTCTCAGCATTGAACTAGAAACATGAGAGAAACATGGCTATGTCAAGAGATGGCGGTGAACGTTTGATTTGAAAGCCTGTAGATTGTAAGTAGGTGGGAAACACTTGTCAGGGAGGGAATTCCATAGCTTGGCCGTACTGCAATTACCATATATGAAAATGGATTCAGCTGCTTTGATAAACTTGTAGACATATTGTAAGAGTAACATTTTTGTCCTGTAGGTAAGGCTTGGTCAGGATGACTTCACCATGATGATGGCCACTCTGGATCAGAACCTGAATGAAGGGAAACCCGCTGCAGTTCAGCCTGAGCCAACAACAGGGGGCGCTATTGAGATGAAAGTCCCTGGAGAAACGTCAGATACTTCAAAAGGTTTGCCCACTGCTGTCTATACTGTCTATACTGTAGACCAGTATAAGGTCCCATTCAAAATATTTCCAACTTGTAAATTTCTACAATGTAGTTTCAGCCCAGTGTAGCAGGCCATACTGTACCCCTGGCCAGAAAATACCCGGGTATAGTCTGGCTAGGGGTATTGTCTGGTGTGCTACACTGGTTCTTACAGTTATTATAGTTCACTCCCAAGGAGTGAAGTATTGTTTGGGGTGTCTGTTTGTGCGAGAGTGTGTTTCCACACTGCAGTTTCCATACTTTCTGCCAGGGTGCTCACCTTCAAGGGGGTGAAGTCTGCTATCTCTGATTGCCTTATTGTGTAATGTTAATTTGTGTGGGGTACCTCTCTGCATAGTTTTCCTGTAAATTTACAATGTCAACTTTAAACTACAGCTGAGGCTTCCAGGGTTGCCTTTGCTGAAGTCTGGACCAAGCTTCAGTTCAAATTTGAGTTGGAGAGTCTGTCGGCAACTCTACATACAGGAAAGACTGATCTGGTGAGTTTGCTTTTCTGTCAGTTTAAAAACTGCCTTCTGTACTGTAGATGCTATGTATAGTCTGAAAATGTATCCTGTTAGTAATAGTTTGATTCTGATTATGTTTCATTCCATGCCATAGTTTGGATGGGTATTGGGCACTACATTTGGGTATGGAAACACTTGATACTGGAGAGAACTACATGGAAAAAGGTGATATTGGACAGTCCATTTTGCAATGGGGAGGAAGATGGAATGAAATATGCTGCATTTGCTATCAAGCAAGTGAATGGGTAGCACTGTTCTTGATACTGAGTGACAATCACAGACAATACTGTCCTTGGTGCTGAACAACATTCACACTCACAACACTTGCTTTTCTACTGAATGAGTAACACTAAGATGAGCTTATATCCTGCTGTCCTGCCTTTTCCTCAGAGTTCTGCCTCAGGTATTTGTGTGCATGACCAAAAGACCTGCCTGGGCAGTTTCCTGCTGAACACCATACAGGTAAAAGGGAGACTGCAGTCTGATAACTCCATGGACACACGTGTGGCGCTGGTCAACATGACTTTGGACGACACCAGACCAGGCAGAGAGCACGGCATCACAAGGTAGTTAAAACTTCAGGAACTAAAACGTTTAGCCGGTAAAATTGCTCATCCTACCAGTAAAGATCCTGATCAGAGTTTACGTTGACAGAAAACTCTGGTTGGGATCTCTATACCGGTAGAAACTACTGGTCTCTACCCTGACACTACCATATACATATTAATGTTGTCTTGAAGTTCTCTTTTATGTAAATAGATTTTATTACAGTAACAGTTGCCAATGCATAATTTTTATTGATATACCAGCAGAAAATGATTCTGTCTTAGAGGGTATCTAGTGTAAAGGTAGTAAAGATCTGGATGTATTTTTACTTGAAAAAAAATAGGTAGTCACAGTCCTCATATTGAAGTGATAGTCTTATGTGATGATTTGAGTATATAACCAAATGAAAAGTACTATGACTTGTCCAATCAATGAATAGAATTATGGAGCAGATATCTTAACAGACTTTCTCTCTCTCTCCCTCTCTGTCAATATCATATAATCCTTCTCAATGCCCGCCTTACACAAATCCTTCTGAAATTAATTTTAACAATTTTCATGATATTTCCTACTCCACGTATGCCCTGGTTCATAATTGACAACTTACTGAATGAATAACAAATCTGATGTCCCACCACTACTCTTATTTTGGAATTCAAATCCATATAATCCAACATTAACACACTAACATGAACAAAAATAACAGTGTAGAAGATGATTTCCATGGTGTAGAAACAAAATTTCCATACTTCAGGTAAGTATCTGTCTCTTGCATCTGTCTTTTTTCATCCTTAATTGAATATTGAACATCTTTTTTGCTTTTAAAAAGACATGTTCCACACTTTGAATTCCTTTAAAAGAAAAGATTCCATTAAAAAATGGCAAAAGAAACATCTAAAGCCATTTTCACAACAACTTAAAGGCACGTGTGTTGTATTAATTCATGAAAGAAACAGTAATTAGTTTTAACTCATGATCATACATGCTGTGGTAAGATTAAAGGCAACCCAAGATTTTGCATTTCCACTTATTAATTAGTTTAGATTCCTGTTAAACATACTTTTAGGATGTACCAAATTAGTACCCTGTTTTCAGTAACAGTTGAATAACAATTATAGCAGATTTCAAGACTGTGTAAATTTCCACTAAGTACAAGTTTGAAGTACACAATCCTTGGCAGTTTGTTTGAATTCCATGCACAAAGCTGTCCACTTGAAGTGTCAATCATGCCTTACTGTTTTTACAGAATGTTTCAGCGTGCTTCGGAAGGAGACAACTGCATGGTCAGTGTTAACTTTGTCCAGGACAGCAAGCTCAACAAGAAAAGTAAGTCATCATATCAGAAAACTATCAGCTCGGACATCTACATTTTGTATGTAGGGTCGTAGAATTTATTGATCATTGTAATTTCCTTAATTGGCAAATAAACAAGAAGTGGTTGTTGAAAAACTGATCCTTGTGTACTCTTTGAGTTGGAAGAAAGTTCAACTACTACTACTACTACTACTACTACTACTACTACTACTACTACTACATGGTGTGAGAAAGCATGTCCGTACCATAGAACGTATTGCGCCTGCACGAAACCCTGATTTTTCAGATTTCATTGGATTTTTGGTCACCGTTGCATCAGAATTTTGGCCGTTGCAGAGGATATCCTCTCTGACAAAACATTTGGAAACTACTTACAGAATGTTGACCTTATTTATGTGAGTGCGACCTTATATAAGACGTTCTGCCGAAGTGCTACATGTATGCACAATACAATAAGTTTACAGGTTTCGCGCATGTGCAGTTTGTTCTGCCGACGTGCTGTGTGAGAAGGGCTTATTACACTCTTGTGTTTTTTTCCAGTTGATGTGGATGTGGAACAGATCTACCTGTGTGTGTGTCTGGAGTATATACTGTCTGTAGCAGACTTCTTCCAAAAGGGGCTTCCACAAACTGGACCCAAACCACAACCTGTCCAGTCTAAACCAGGTAATTTGCTGCATTTTCCAACTACTAGATATATTCGCCAAGTCAGTAGACTTTACTGTCTACCTTTGTCTAAAATCTTGTCACAAGTTTTACTGTATGGTATGAAAAAGCTGCTGCTCTAGATGTACTTGATAAATGTACTTCATTAATGTTGTAATATTTCACCATTAATGAATGATTGCTTATTAGTTGTTATTAGCTGAACACATGAACTATCATGCTAAGCCTTGTAATTACTGTTGTTTAAGTACATTGTATGTAACAAAACTTCTGCTTCAGACCTAGATGAGCTGACTGAAGCACTGTTTGAAGAAATTACTGCAGGTAGAAAAGAAATGTATCAAAAAGTTATACATTGGGTTCAAGGTGTTACATAACATGAACAATACTAACCATGTTACTGGTGAAAATGTTAGATCATTTATAATTACAGGTGTTACAACATCACAAACTTTAATAATTTATAACTAAAACAATTAACATGTTCTTGTTTCTGTTGCAGTACAAACAATGTACTGTGCAACTCCCCTAAACTGGAGAAGAGTACATGGAACTTTAACAGTTATTGGTTTAAATTCTACAGTTATTGTAACAGTTTCCTCTTATTTCATCAAGAACCATGCCTATATCTAGTTCTATACCTACATGTTGTAATTGGGTTAAGGTTAGGATCAGGGACGGTTCTGGAAAAGCGTGGACCATCCAGAACCGTGCCTGAGCACGGTTCTGGATAAATCACGGTTCTGGATAAATCACAGTTCTGGATAAATCACGGTTCTGGATTGATCACGGTTCTGGATTGATCACGGTTCTGGATAAATCATGGTTCTGGATACAACAATTCTGGATAAATCATGGTTCTGGATAGAACAGTTCTGGATAAATCACAGTTCTGGATAGAACAGTTCTGGATAGAACAGTTCTTGATACAACAGTTCTGGATACAACAGTTCTGGATTAATCACGGTTCTGGATAGAACAGTTCTGGATAAATCATGGTTCTGGATTCAACACTCCTTTACACTACATGTACATTGTATACCACATTACCAGGTTCCCTAGCTGAAGTCCCCACCAAACCTGAAGCTCCACAGTCTGACCTTGAGTTGAACTTGAAGATGGGTCGTCCTGAGATCATCCTTATCGCAGACTCCAAGACTAAGGACCAACCAGCACTGGTGTTGGATGTGAGTCTTTTGAATCATCATCTACATCACTGTTTCTCCTTTTGTTGACTTTCACCCTTTCACTGTTTTTTTTTGCGAACAAGACAAATAGCAAACAGAAACAGATCACAATCAGAAACAAAGCCACATTGCTTGTGAGCTATGAAAAAAGTACTATGCTTTGTCTCCAACATCACATACTTTGTACCCTGTACAACTGTTATGCAATAAAGTTATCCCGTAAAGTGTTTAAATATCCAGTTAAACCAAAGAAGACATGGTTATTATTTAATAATGTAGAAATTTTTTTGTACCTGTCAACATTTGGTAGTACTCCTACTACCCTCCTATCTGATAAAACTGTTTCTCTTTTAAATTATTTCTCTTTATTTCGATACTTCAGCCAAAAGGCTAATCTTCCAGGGTTCAAAACATACATACAACAAAGAACATACTCTCAGACTGGTAAAAACACACGTATATAACTGTTGGCTTATGTTTGCTATTTTAACCCATTATGATATTTTGTTGAGTTGCTATGCATGATTTCCCTGATATGATATTTTGTTGAGTTGCTATGCATGATTTCCCTAATATGTGGTCTGTAGACGATCTTGATCAGTCAGCCTCCTGGTACGTCTACAGTTGCAGACATGGAGGAGGTATGATATCGATGTGTTCTGTTTGGCAGAGTTGACTCCCACAATCAGTAACTGCAATGTTACTGCAAATTTACTCTGACTAATTCTCAGGAAAATGAAATATGGCTACATTAATGATCTAATCCTAAATGCATTTAATCTCATAATTGCACAATGTTAAGGTGGTTTGGTGGTGGTTCAGTGGTCAGCATAACTCGGTTGCGACGGTGAAATACAGCAGGTGTTGATTTGGTGAGCTGGTGTTGGCAAACAAGTATGATTACTTGTACGCCTGTCAGCTTTCTTTGGTACTGCAGCAGCAGAACTTCTGGTGTTTGGATCTCCCAAAAGTCTTTGCAATAATAGTTTGGGTGGCAGAAAACTTTTTGGCTTGGATAAAAAGGCAACGTATGTTTAGAACCCTGGCACCTATTTTCAGAACTGCAAGCTAAGTCTAAAACGATTTGTACATGTATTGGAAACTTCGGAAGAAAATAATTTGTAAGAAAAATGATCCTTTGGACTAGCACTTATAGACTTAGTAGCTATGAGCTTTGCTGCCTGGTAAGCCATAATAATACTGGACCTGGGTGCCAGGACCTGACATGAGCGCTTAGAAAAGAGACAATATGAGCTTATTGGCACCCACCTCCATTCCATTCCAAATTGATGCTCAATCAAGTAGTGCTATAGTGCAGCTTTGCTCTTTTTTTTTTTGCTTTGAAAAAAACACAGCAATCAAAATGATGTCCTGATCCTGACAGTGTTTCAATAAATATCAATAATAATTATCATTCATTGATTTATTGAAACCAACTCTTTATGCATCTACCAGGTTAAGAAGAAGATAAAATGACATATCATTAAAGATAAAAAAATTTGCCCTTGGTTGACAATGCTTTGAAATCATTCAAACAAATTCATACAAACTTTTAACCATCTTTCTGCTACATAGCCCAGGAGCCAGTAGAAATTTGGTACCACAAGACTCTCTCGGCCATGAGAAGGTCACAGTTGACAGAGAATATTGTGCACATTTTCTGTTTGCAGACGGAAGTTCACTTCCAGATGAAGATCACTCCAGATTTCCAGATGATGGCAGGGAGTGTGAAGGACCTGCAGGTCGTCTCCTGTCCCTTTCTGAAGAGCAAGAGAAAAGGCAACAAGATGAATGTAAGTCATGATAGTTAGATCTAAAATATGTGAAGTCTATGGTGTCAAAGGCCTCGAGCAGGCTCCACTACCTCCGTCTGCTGACAAAACAGGGCATGAGTGTGCAAGATCTCGTCCAGGTGTACCTGAGTCTCATCCGCCCTGTCCTGGAGTATGGGCATGTTCTGTTAGTCGGTTGCAGTGAGGAGCAGGCAGCGAGCATGGAGAGGGTTCAGAGGCGTGCCCTCCGGATCATCTCACGTGGCGGCAGACGTTCCGTACCGACACTGCCGTCCCTGAAGGAGAGGAGAGAGGCCGCTGCTGTGTCTCTTTTCAAGGCCATGCTGAATCCTGAACATCCCCTGCACGACCTGGTTCCTGCCCAGAGATCAGTCTGCCACAGGAAGATCGCTGAGGAACAGTCACAACATCACTGTTCCCCATGCAAGAACTAAACGGCTGCAACAGTCCTTCCTGCACTACACCATCAGACTCTATAACAACCTGCCTTGAACCTACACTAGTACTGGACTTTGCATAGCCTGATAAAGCAACTTTGTGCATATATGTTGTAAATAATTTTGATATGTGTCCTTTGTATATATGGTTGTTTATATGTACATGTATTATTTCTTCTATGTGAATGCTGTTTAATGCTTCAAATAATGTGACAAATTGTACCTAATTCAGGGGGATGCGCTTCTGCTCCCCCTGCTGTTGTACATTTGTTAAATGATGAGCAAATAAATAAAGTTGTATATAATTTGTTTGTTTTTTTACATTTGATGAACAAGAGAACAATGATCCTTAGGGATTATTTGAGGTCACAGATGTTATGCAAATAGAACATTATAAGTCATAACTTTTTTGTAGTTTTATAAGCCATATCATTGTTACGATAAAAGCTCTTTAGGTCATGGGTTGGTCACATGTCAGACACATAGTGGGTCATTTTTCTTGAGGAAGGCCATAGAATTGGTAAAGAAACTGGTGTTTGTTAAACATTTTGTATTTGAAAGAAAGTTTGTTCAGGCTTAATCATCACATTCTGCACTAATGATGATGGTGATGATGATGGTAATGACTTTGATGATGATGGTGGTAATGATGATGACTTTGATGATGATGGATTTGATGATGTTGATGGTGATGATGATGGTAGCAGTGATGGTGGTAATGGTGATGATGATGATAATGATGGTGATGATGATAAGTGAAGATGATGATGATGATAATGATGATAACAGTGATGATGATATTATGACGATCATGGTAATAGTGATGATGATGATGGTGATGATGTTAACAATGATGATGATGATGGTAAGAGTGATGATGATAGTGATGATGATGATGATGATGGTTACATTGATGATAATGATGATGATGATGTACTCACCTGTAAGTTTGTTCCCTGCCCAGATCCTGCATCCCTGCTTCATCTCCCTGCACAGTAAGACTCCGCAGGGCCAGGGCATGCACCTAGACATCACCACTAGTGACCTGGAGCTCACCATCTCTCCTCCCATCATCAGGACCATCACAGCCATCACAGCATCTCTCACTCCACAACAGGTTAGTCACACTGCATCCCTCACCCCACAACAGGTTAGTCACACAGCATCTCTCACTCCACAACAGGTTAGCACACTTATTTTTTAGATGTCTCAGAAGCATTTACAGTAGGGATGTCCTAACTACATGTACAATGTAGATATAGTTTACAATGTATACTATGCTTGCCATTAGATTGCAAATAAGTAAAGAAATGGAAACTGAAGTGGAATGGCCATGTGTCGTGGTCATTGATCAGCCAAAACCATGTTGTAAGGAACAGTACAGAGAGGAAGAAAGAGGGGTAAGCAAAATGGGGTGGGAGGGTGGACAGGAGAAGGGAGGGTAACACAGTATACATGTAGTGTAATCACTACAGCAGGAAGCTATAGTCCACTGGTAGTGATGTGTGTTTAACTACCATACTCCCCAAATGCTGAGTGCTAAGTGGAGAAAGCAGTTATGTACTAGTGCCATTTCTAAAGTCTTTGGTATGACTCACCGGGGATCGAACTCATGACCTGCGAACTTAACTCACTTGGTCATTGCACCAGTTACACTGACTTGAGGTGTTTTCCTTTATTTCCCAGGCTGATGAGAATGGGAAGAAGACCTCTGCAGTTCCAGCTGACTTGTGGTGTATCAAGAGTCTGAAGGAGTGCAACTTCTGGTTCCTTCAGCCAGGTACAGTAGGACCTGAAGTCTTCAACATTCAAGATGGCATCCAAGCCATTGCATAATGTATTTTTTTGGGTATACATGTATACAGCATTAGCATAACCATACTCTCGCAAGTATCCTTAACTACCTCAAGGTGTAACACATTGTATAGTTCCTATATGTATAATTTTTTTAATACAATATTCCTTTATTTCCATGCATAGCTGCCATTGCTGATGTGGCAGCAGTCCCTGGTCTAGAGGTCATTAACCTGCCCAGCACAGGAGAACAGGTATGGAAATATTGTTCATATTTAAAGGTTTATTAGGTTTGTATCTGGCTGTTGCTGTCAGCAGAGTATATTTTGAAGAAATTTAATGCTACATAATTTTAGTGGAAGAATATTATGTTATGTTTTCAGTAATGTAGAGTCTTAAATGTTAAGTTATGTCATAGGCTCTTGTGTATCTGTCTGTTTTTCACGTGACACATTTAGAACAGATTTATGTCTTTTAATGCAGAATCTGTACAGCATTGACACCCCAATGTAGTAACAAACAGAACTAATATCAGTAATATTATTTAAGTTCATCTGTGTTGGTATACATGATTCTTACCTAGAGCTTTTGACCAGTCACTCTGGTCTTCCTCGGTAGACTGACCCAGTGAGACTAGTCACGTGGCTTCTCTGAAGTGTGACATCAACACATGACAAGTCTCACTGGGTCAGTCTACCGAGGAAGACCAGATCTAGAGTGATTTGTCAAAATCTCAAGGTGAGAACCATTCTTTGTGTTAGATCAAAAGTTTTAACTTTGAAGATAATCATTAATGCTGTTTTTTCTTGTGTCCAGCTGCTGGCCAAGGTCCCGAGTCTGCTGGTGAAGTTGGAGGCCAGCGTGGGCAGCAGAACTGTCCCCATGCTGGTCCTGGAGGCCAGCTTCCACTCAGAGGTCAAGGACTGGTCTGGAAAGGTCAGAGAAAACCCTAAATTAGACAGTACCATTTTCTGTTACAGATGAAGTATTGGTAGATTCAGATTAGGTGCACTGTTTTGCAGTACTCTGTGTTATGTTTATTACACACTTCAACATCATTATGCCATCTGCATATTATGCAGGTAGTGCAGGTAAAGTTGGAGCTGTGCAGGTATTTGTACTGGGTTGTAGCTGTGTACTACTAGGTATTTGTACCAGTACAGTCCATGTGCTGCATTTACATACAAATGTATAGGTGTATACTAGTAGGTGTATGTGTATTTTCATTAATTTAGCTGTATTGATGGTCACCACTTGTCAAGTGTAAAAGAAGTAATTCAATAGTTTCTGAACAGTTTTTAGTGTGATCCATAAATTCTGCCTGGTGCAACTAATTTTCTAAGGATTTTGACCTCAGGTATGACTGTCTTCAAAACTAGCTTCTCTGACTGTTGAAATGTGCGTTCCCACCACAGTTGAATGTAACAGCAGAGTTGAACATGGAGGTTGCGTACTACAACGACTCGCTGACGGTTTGGGAACCGCTACTGGAGCCGGTGGAAGATGGCGGAACACGGCGACCTTGGGAACTCAGCGCAGAGGTCAGTCAGCAGGGGACACAAGTTTAACTTAAGTTGAATGTATTCTCGGTAGTATGATTCTGCTCTTTCATAATCTGATATGATAATGGTAACTTAGTTTGCTTTCTTGAGTTGGACTTGGGGATCTAGCCAGCCCAAAATTTCTTTCCGTCAGCCCAGGTTCCTGATTGGCACTGGTGGGGGAGTGCTCACAATCTAGGGGAGCCAGGGGGCAAATTATGGATTTTCATGCCTTTAAAAATGCTATTTTCCACGTTACGAGAGGCAAATTATGGGGTTTTTACCCATGATTTTTGTCAATTGGGTCCGTCAAGTTTGACAGATTGGTTTGAAAATTTTTCTGTCACACACTGCAAAGTTCCTGCACTTGAGAGAAAAATGGGTGCTGGCTATAGAGCCATTATTTCCAGTACACAAAAAGTTATGGGTATTACTAAGAACATTTTGTCCATTTTCCACAGGTCACGAAGAATGTAGAAGATGATGCCAGCCCGTTGACCTCTCCACAAGGAGAGGCCGACCTCGAGGTCATCCCCTCGGCTCCGCCCACCATGTCAATCAATGTCAAGTCCAGTGATGTCATGAACATCGTCTTCAGCAAGGCTCTTCTGACTCTGCTTACCAACATGGGGAAGGTAAGGTATCCCCTGGCAGTGTTAGAAATAGCCATCTAGTCTGCATTTTCCAGAGAAATTTTCAGTGTTGCAGAAAAAATATCAAGCAACCTGCAATTTTGCAGACTAAAACATCTGGATAGGGGTTCAATTGTGTCTGTATAATATTGTTTATGAGCTTTTGTGTGTGTATTTGCAGAATGTATTTTCCAGATTGCAGGACAAAATTTTGACATTCTGCAATATTGCAGACCACTACAAAAAAGTATTTCTATCACTGTTCCTTATACTTTTCCAGGCCTTCCAGGAGGCTGTGTATGACACGTCCCCAAAAGCCCACAAGGAAGAGATGCATTCTCCCTTCATGGTCAAAAATGAGGTAACTTCATTTCAAGATGTATTAATAACAAATTGTGTTTTTCTGATGTATGATTGCTGACAATTATTATTGCTCCAGTTTAATTCTTGTATGGTTTTTGTATCCATATCATAGAAAGGCTTTTGCGAATGAAAATATTATGAGATGTATTGTATGTACAATGTATCCAATGTTGTGTCTAGGTGATGTTATTATGGCCGACATCAAGCAATCTAATCTGTAATTTCAGATGGGCTGCAACATAACCATCCAACCAGGGTCAACCTTACAGGTAAGACAGCATTTTTATGTTACTGCAACAGTTATAATGTGTAATTTCATTGGTAGATATTGGATTGTAATTTGACAATATTACAAATACGATAACATGCAATAACACAATATTTTTCACAGCTTGTAGCAGCAGCAACACAGCCTGAAGGCAACTGCCTGAGAGACAGACAAACCCTGTACATGGAGGCAAGAAAAGGGGTTGAACGTGGAATGAAAAAGTCCTTCTTAGCCAAACAAGACAACATCACAAGACACACCATTTCTGTTCAGGTAAGACTTCAGCATTTTCAGTTTACCATAAATTTCTTTATTTCTTTATTTGGATTTACCATAACAAGATGGAGGGGGAGACAAAGTAAAATTCATTTACTTCTGGAGTGGTTATCTTTTTGGCAGAAGAAGAAGGGAGGCTCTAAAACAAGAATTGGACTTGCCCAAATTTTCAACTGCATAACTCCAGTCATTGTCAAGGAATGACCGATCCACTGCTTCAGTGAAATCACATTATACAGATGATATTCTCTGATACTTGAGAGTTGATACGTGGGTTTGATGCAGCACATCGGCAGAACGTACTGCACCTGCACAAAACCTGTAATGTATTGTACATAGCATTTCGGCAGAATGTCTCATTTAAATTTGTATTCGCACATATAAGGTTAGCATTTCGACAGTAGTTTCCAAATGTTGTGTCGGAAAGAATGTCCTCTGCAACAGGCAAAATTCTAATGCAACGTTGACCAAAAACCCAACGAATAACACGAAAATACGGGGTTCTGTGCAGGCGCAGTACGTTCTGCCGACGTGCTGGTTGATGGAATTTTGTTTCTCCTCAGGTTGAAGGTTATCATGAACTGAAGGATGTTCCTATCTACAAGGCCGGCAGACGACTTTACAACGTCAGTCTGACTGAGAACAAGGCTGTGATGTCCATTGTGTGCCAGATCGACGCCTCTGATGGGTCCAAGACTATCACCTTCAGGTCACCGCTACAGGTGACCTTGATTCTTTGATGATTGCAAATGAAGATGAATCTAGCAAGCCAAGGTTTGCAAGCAAATGCAGAATATAATGTATGTCCTCACAGGCGAGAGATACATATAAGTAGGAAAAATGTTTTTCTGTGCTCTTTTCACTTGGAAGGTCCAAGACAATCACCTTTAGGTCACCATTACAGGTGAACTTGATGATGCACAAATATACAAATGAAAATGAAACTAGCAAGCCAACATTTGCAAGCAAATGCAGAATATGGCACCAGGAGAGAGAGAAAATGTTTCCCTGTGTGGTCATGTTAAGGTCACCATTACAGGTGAACTTCATGCCTTGTTGACAAATATGTAGATAAAGTTGAAACTAGCAAGCCAATGTTTGCAAGCACATGCAGAAGATATCCCCACAGGAAGTATGCCAAAATGTTTCCTTGTGATGTTCTCAATTGATGTTACTCTTCCAGGTGTACAATGAGTTTCCTGTTGCTATGGAGCTCTTGTACAGAGATGGCTCCCACCAACTGGTGCCGCTTGGTTCGATCCAACCCAGATCAGAGTTCAGCGTTCCCTTGACTGTGGCGTACAGGAGTGATATCTACTGTAGGCCTGTGGACATGGGGTAGGGCACCATTTATGTTGTCCCAAATATGCAAATGATTTATATGTAAATGAAAGACTGATGCACTTCATTGGAAGACAATTTGTGTGTCTGTCCTTGGTGCTGAAGTTAGAATTGCTTGTGTAAAAAACTTTCCTATAAATATGAAAGGGATTCTTCTACTGTATTAATGTACCTAAACATCTAAACCTAAGTCAAGTGACAAAATGTGCTTAATCCACTTTTACAAGGAATTTGGGCCTGTGAGGGATTTGAACCCAGTGCCTCTAGATTCTGAATCAAGTCCTTCTGAATGCCTCCCTTCCAGCTACAAATTTATACTGATTTTCCTTACTACAGATACCAGGTGTCCAGTACCAGTATACCCTGGAGAGAGGGGCTGACTTCCCACCAGAAAATCAGGTCCACTCTACAGTGTCAGCCAGAGAAACCAGGGAACCCAACCTTCTACACAAGTGTAAGAAAAAAAACTAATAGTATTTGACTATCAACCATTCATTTTTATTATGTGACAATTGACAAACAACAACAGTATTTTTGCCATTATTCAAACCTGACCTGGATGCTTAGATCATATTAGGCCACACCGATTTAATTTTATGGATGACATCCGCGCGCGCATTGATTTTCACCCGATCTCAAAAAAAAAAAAAAAAAAAAAGAATCACGTCTTCCGAGGCTCTGGACTGGCTTTAGGCCTGGGTAGTCCATGGTGGTGATAACTCTGGTGGACGGCACCCAGGCTACGGAAGCCCCAAGACTCAAGAACTCAGTACATACGTACAGTGTCGATTCATAAATTCCGCAAAAATCCGGCATGTGTCGGCCTGTCGTATACGTCGCTATGTAATGCGCCAAATTCACAACACCAGCTTTGTATTCCTGTGGTTTTATATATATAATAGTAGCATTTTTATTTTTGGCTGGATTTTTCTTTTTTTCGCCCGCACGCACTAGTTTGGGGGTCTTCAGAGGATGTCATCCATAAAATTAAATCGGTGTGGCCTTATATAACTGGATACTACCCATGTATCATTTCTAAATTGACAAAAAAATGTCTGTTGCTATAACATGCATATCTACATATCTTGTATATGTACAGGATATGTAGACAAGTATTATCAATACAGAAAATGATTGAACAAATTTTTGCACAAACTACCATGTTCAGGTCACAAGATAGCAAAAACAGAAGTTCCGCTGCAGTACCATAACAAGCTGCCAGGGGTCCAACATTTAATCATTTCCTGATCTTATCGGCCTACCAAATATCAAGACACACACACACAATAAAACACACACACACAAACACTACCGAAAACATAACCTTCTTAGCAAAGTAGCAAAGGTAACAAATGATTGAACGTAAATTTCCCATCAGGTGGAGGCAGTGAAGGATGAACTATCGTGGGTAGAGGGTACGGACGTTAGCGCCCCCTGTTTTGTACTGCACCTGAGGCCCACAGCAGTCCTGCACAACAGACTGCCTTACCCAGTCTACTATCTCATGCAGGTGGGTAATACATTTGTACAACTGTTTTCAGCTGCTCTGTTTTATTTTGTGCATCATTTTGAAACATTCTTGACTTATGATCATTTTCTTGACTTAGAATTTTTCTTCCCTGCGATTATTCAACACACACTGTTTTTGTTCTGTATGAGATTTTTAAATAAAAATATATGACCATATCCCTCTGCTTTTTAAACCCAATCCTTTTGTAGAATTTTCTTGATTTGAAATACAGGACAATGACGATTCTTGCTAATGACTATTGTAATATTTTAATCAACAAACATTGATGCCTTTTTCCATCATCACCATCTATATGTAACTCTCTTTGAAACTTCTAAAGCTACTTTTTATCACTCTTTTTCCTCTGTATTATGACAATCATTGTGACCTCCATATCTGTATTTGTGTGTTTGTGTGTTGTCTGCCTCTTGCTGTCTTCAGAGTAAAGAGGTACGTAAAACTGTATACACAAACTCTATTATTTGTTGTTTTTGTTGTTGTTGTTATTGTTGTTTGCATGTTTGGCTGTATGATAACACACAGCCAGTGCCATTGATAGTTTAGATATTGCACTGGTTAATACTGTGTCTCTTGTTTCCCGACCGACCCTAGTTTAGTCTCTATATACTGTGGGAAGAGTTGGTATCAGACTGAATACGATAAAATATCATCTTTTCTCTGTTTGACAATTATACTGTTTGTGTACATCATGCTAACTAGTCTGCATGGAGAATTATGTTAAGTTGTTCATTTGTCCAGTGCATTCATTCTTCTCTTTGTAATGTAATGAAAGAAGCAAAATGGTTTGGTTTAAAGTGAGTTTATAGTAAATATTAACAAGCTTTGACAAACAGTTGTAATAATCTTTTATTGTGCTTGAATATGGCTATGGGACCTACATGTACCTAAGACAGTACAAGTTTCCTTGCTGATTCACATTTTGATTGACATGTAATTTATTATGCTAATTTATGCAGGGTGCAGCTGAGGAGGCGGGGCTAGGCCCAGGGCTTCACTGTCCTCTCTATACTTACAGCACCACTGAGACTATCATGGAGATACAGGTTAGTAAAGCATTTGCATATTTGGGACAAGTTAAATACAGCTCTCAGTCAAACTAACCTTTGTGTTTCTGCTTATTTGCATAGATGTGACACTTCCATGTTCATGTAACCCAAACAAATGTAATATAAAGTGAAGATTTTCTGTTTAAATGTTTGAAATATAATTTTGAAGGTAACCATCCTTGAATGATCATTATTATGATACTAAGACTTTTGTTTTTATGAACCTTTGTTATAGGTGAAGAACTACCTTGGAAAAGAGTGGATAGGAAAGTTGAACATCAGTAACACCATGCAGGAGTTGTCCGTTTGCACGTTCCAGGGTTATGATCATGATGGCCAACAGAAATACACTCTGGTTTGTATTCCTTACTTACCACATGTACCTTGCATATTTGTACACCATAGACTGGTGCTGATATAAACTTTATGACACTTCTGTCTGACGATCTGAACTGATCATTCATACCCAACCACTGGACTGTCCGTAACATAGCCATGTTTCTCTCATATTTCTAGTTCAATGCCTAGAAGTGGTCGTATATGCCTAGGTAGCTTGCATTGAACCACTCCGTTAAAAAAAAATGTGTGGTTCAGTCATGAGCGACACTGCTTCTTGACCAAGAATATAGGGGTTTGGAGTTCAAATCCCAGCTGTTGTTACTCACCTGGCATGCATGCTACTGGAAAGGTAGTAACTGTTTTTAGGCTGGGGCAATAAGCCATGGTCTACTGTTCACTGTTCTTGTCCAAAAGAGCTTCAATTCAATTTTGGGAGATTTCCCTGGTACCACACAGTCAATGTCTACTGTCATGACCATTGGACCATATACATGTAGTAGCCCTTCAGTGCTAAACTGGTTCCAGATCACTAGTAATTTGCTCCACCATATGAAGGCTACAGTATTGACAGACATTTTTATTGTGCTTAATTTTGCTGTTGCTGTTTTTTAGGACCTGGGTGTGCTGGCATCCCAGACAGAAGGGTTCCTGGACCTCTCAGTGTTCTGTCCTTACTGGATGGTCAACAAGACTGGTCTTACCCTACAGTACAAGGTGCACCATATATACATTGTATACACCGACTTCGACAAATTATACAAATTGGTTTAAATGGGACATGTACTGTATACTTTGTCCAACATAAATACTTAGTAAATAGGTTCAAGATGTGCATAGTTTATCCGTTTTAATATTGTCTACTAGTGGGTGAAATTAGTAATTGTTGTTGGGCATTCATACAATCATGTAGATACATGTACATGTAGATGCATCAATACATAGAATATATCACTGTCTATGTGTGTTAGTAGTTAGAAGTACATGTAGCAGAGCTCAAAATACCACATGCACATGCAGATTAGTGCAGTGTATTTCTTATGTCTACCTGCACCTAACCTGCACTGGTCCATGTACTGGGTATATGCAGGTTAGTGCAGGTAAAATTGGAGCTGTGCAGGTATTTCTGATATCTACCTGCACCTAACCTGCACAGGTCCATGTACTGGGTATATGCAGGTTAGTGCAGGTAAAACTGGAGCTGTGCAGGTATTTCTGATGTCTACCTGCACCTAACCTGCACTGGTCCATGTACTGGGTATATGCAGGTTAGTGCAGGTAAAATTGGAGCTGTGCAGGTATTTCTGATGTCTACCTGCACCTTACCTGCCCTGGTCCAGGTATTTTGAGCCCTGAGTAGTAAACAATACACAAGGTGCTATTCTTTCAACTGTTGTGCACGTCTGTCTATTTCTTCACTCTGTCTGCAACCTTGACAGTTTGCTGCTGAAGAGGTCAGTCTTGTCTGTCTAACTCATTCTAGAGCTACATGTAGAGCTACACTTAGTTGATGAAGAAAATTAAAATGTTCTCCAACCCAAAAACGAAATTGACTCACCAGAAATTGAATCGCTCAGTCTTCATCAATTTTATGACCCAAGTGCTGTGAACACCTGATTTTTAGCCACGTGTGGCATGAGCAATGGATCAAAGTTCAAAGTTCATTGGAAGTCGGTACCGGCCCCCGTCACGGATGAGCAAAGGTTGGTATGCCCTGATGTAGATGGCTTCCAAAGAACTTTGACCCAGTTGCTGACGTCACACGTGGCTAAAAGGCACATGTCCTCAGCACTTGGGTCATAAAGCTGATGAAGACTGAGCGATTCAGTCGAAAATTTCTGGTGAGTTAATTTTGTTTTTGAGTTGGAGATGAACAGTTTAATTTTCTTCATGTATTTTACCAACTCAGATGAACTTTCATGCTAGCCACATTAGTTGTATAACATGGTGTCTTTGTCTGTGTCTGTCTTCAAAATGTCCGTGTCCATCTGTCTGTGTGTCCAGCTAGTTCCTGTGGTCATAATATAGTTTTATTTATCAAAAACATTACAATTATTAAAAACTTCTGACTTACATGTATTGCACTGCACACATATCACTAACTATAGGTGGCTACTTAATTTGCATATAGTCTGTGACAATTAATACATTTATTGTAAATTGCTGTTAATTTATCATCTATGTTAGATTGATCTTTTGTAAATAATTATAGTAATAGTGAGATGTGTCCAGCTTTTATCATGATTTTATTCATTTAGTAACAATGTAATGATTGCACTGATCTACATTAAAATATTGATAGCTTGCATTTGTCCATGAAATAAAAACTTACGTGAAGTGATTTCTGTTGCAGGCATCTGACGACACTGCAGTCCTGAGTCATCCTCCCAACCAACAAGATGTCGTGTTGTTCTCATTCAAACCAAAGAGCCTCTTTGCTAAGAAGAAGGTAAGCTAGCATTGTCATAGCATACATGTATGGTCATCATTGTACCTTAGTCTATGTTGTTTTCTTTTGGTGTCTCTGTGTGTTTTCTTGTGTTTCTATACTTATTTTCACATGCTAGGCATGTCGATGACACTACTAGTATAGGAAGTTAGGTCAAATTCTTTAAGGCAGAATCAGCAAGAAACTTTGAAATTCACCATACTGAATAAAACATCAAATTCAAGATATTAACAACACATGATAGTTTTGATTTCTTCTTCATTTTTCTGTTAAAGCTAACTATACATGTATGCAAATATGAAGACACTGTTGGAAATGTTGTAAGCAATTGCCATAGATAATGATATCCTCAAGCAAGTTGCATGCAGATTTTAGCAAGCTGCAGTGTAATATGATGTGCTTCACCTCAGTGAATGATGACAGCATTATGTTTTTCCTGTTTGTTTTAGGCCCTCCTACGCGTGGGTTCCCAGTCAGAGTGGTCCGACAAGTTCTCTGTAGATACAGTCGGCAGTTCTGGCTCTATCACCTGTAAGGCTGCCAAGGGTACAGACACCAACTTCGAGGTAACAAGGCAAAATCAACATCTTAAACCTTCCCTTGCTTCTTGCAATCTAACTCAATTTGCAGAATTCACATTTTGTTTTATATTTTTTTGTTGAAGCGTCGCTATTTTCAGTGATAGACAGGAATCAGATGATATGAGAAAGAAGAACAGATTGGGTCTTAACGTTGCAGTTACCCATATCCTTGCTTCAAAGCAGGCGTTGAATGAAAAAATGTATTTTGCACACTGCACTTATGGATGAAAGAAAAAATGACGTGTTTACATAGGATTTTTAAACAGTCTGTTATGGTTTGTTTCTAGTACAGTTATGGCCCTTTCACCACATAAGTTCATGAATATGATATTTAATCTAAAGGAACAAAAACAATTTTTCAATGTTATTCATACTTCAATCTTTCTTTTCACAAACAGATTGGTGTAAAGATCCAGCTGAGTAACTTCAGTCTGACCAAACAAGTCATCTTCACCCCACACTATCTACTGGTCAACCATGCAGAGGTAACACACATATCTTTTACATCCTGTGTTAAAGATGATAATAAATACATTTTGAAATCTATGTATGGTTTTCTTGAGCTGAAATAGGACTGGAGACAAAATATTTGGTTACCATAATGATATAATGATTTGCGACATTACAATCTGCATAGCATTTTTTCATAGCTGCAGTATACTGTGTGTTTACTGTATAGTAATTATTAGACAAGTATATCTGTTTGCACTGTTACACTACGATAATTGTGACATGTTCCTGCCCAGTTTGACATCAGTGTTCAGGAGGAGGAGGGTCAGGAGTGGCTGGATGTACCTGCAGGGAAGGTATGGATAGATGGATGGATGGATGGATGGCTGGATGGATGGATGGATGGATGGATGGATGGATGAAAGAGTGAGTGAGTGATTGAATCAGTATATTAGTATGTGAACAAGACTGTGAGTGAATGAATGAATGAATGAATGGATGAATGAAAATTTACATCAGATGCTATTAGTAAATCATAAGTTTGTAACTTACTCGTCACTTTCCATTCATTTTAGGTTAGACTTTTTTTTACATTTTTAACAGTGTGTAAGTGACATAAACTTAACCATTCACATTAGTCAAGGCTATAGTTTGAAGAAAGTTCTAGAAACAGAGACTAATTGAGAAGGACATGAACTTTCAGCAATGACTGACAAACAGTTCTGGAGGCTCAACTTTTCTTGCTGCACCTGGTAATGAGGATGATGTGATGATGATGAAGACTATACATGTTTGTATGTAGTTCAGGATTTGTACTGTATATTATGTATGTAGCTCTGACAAGTCTTTTGTCCTGTGTTGTATATATAGTGTACACCATTCTGGCCGAAGCCCAAGTCTCAGAAGCTGCGTGTAAAGCTGACAGCCTCTCCCCCCGGTCAGGACATCACAGAGAACTTCCAGTTCAACCAGGACAACAACGGCATACTTCTGAAGTTGGTGAATCAGGTAAGGAACAGTCCAGCATCAGTATTTTTCAGTTATGGGTTGATAAATCTGGTTGTCAGCTCATTCCTGCCATTTTTGGTGATTTGTTTGGCGTACTTTTGGTTCAATATGTCTTGCAACGTGACAATTTTCTTTCCAATTAGCCGGCATTGGCTTTTCAAATACGGGGCGCAATCAACAATTTAATATTTAGAATTAATGGGAAAGGGTTTAGGTTTTCAGAACTTGGGTAGGAGAATTCCCTAACCACAGACCACAAAAGCTCAGACCCTGGAAGTTAGGTCCCAGAAGCTGCCCTGGAGCCAGCAGGAGGTTGACTGGGAATTTTTTTTTAACGGTGTCGCTCAAGGCAAGGCCTATTGGCCACTTCTAGGCATAGAGCTACAGGTATAGAACTGTAACAGCAACTCTTCTCCCTGAGTCAGAAACATCCTCACAAGTAGTGAGGACTAACTGACCTAATAGGAGAAGCAGGGGTTACGAGGCTGGTCGGGAAAATTCCCTACCCCTATTTAGACCTGTTTTCCAGGTGCAAGTCTGATAACAGAGAAACATTCAGGAATAAAAAGACAAATTCACAAAAATTCATTTCATGTAGAGGTTTGAAATCTCTAATTTCTTGTCATGACTGTTTCTTGTGTTAAAACTTTCATGGTTCTGTTTTGCTTTCCAGGTGGGAGGAATCTTTGTGGACATCCAGGTTTCTGAGTCGGCCAATATCATCAGTTTCAGCGGGTATTCACCAGGGGCAGCAGCTGTCCTACTGGTCAACCACACAGCGAACAACCTCATCCACTACACACAGAGGTAGTTTTGTTGGTTGCTTGCATGTATTTGTGTTACATGTTTGAGTCACAATAATTCCTTTCAAAAGTAGTGTGTAATGATGGCCAATACTTTAGACAGTGGTTATAATAAAAGGGGGGCATTGCATCATATATACACAGGTGAACATGCCTGTCCTTGGTGCTGAACACCATCCACACACAGGTGAACATGCCTGTCCTTGGTGCTGAACACTATCCACACACAGGTAAACATGCCTGTCCTTGGTGCTGAACACCATCCACACACAGGTAAACATGTCTGCCCTTGGTGCTGAACAGTATCCACACACATGTAAACATGCCTGTTCTTGTTGCTGAACACTATCGACACACAGGTAAACATGCCTGTCCTTGGTGCTGAACACTATCCACACACAGGTAAACATGCCTGTCCTTGGTGCTGAACACTATCCACATACATTGCAAGATGACAATGACATTTTCTCATTTTGCATTATGTCTTGTATATTTTAGCCATCAGAAGAAAGAGCAGACCTATGTTCTGGCACCCCAGCAGGCTGTCCTATACACATGGGCAGACCCCACAGGCAAGAAAGAACTGCTGTGGAACATTGACGGAAACGAAAAACACAACGGCAAAGACAAACTGATCAAGGTAACGTACTTAGTTGAAAAAATCTGTTACTGTTGAGGCTGAAAATTGCTGAAGTATCTTTTATGCAGCTGTCATGATGTCTAAGTAGGTTTTCTTAAGTTTTCTTACTTTCTGCTGTTTTTTTTTCTCTTGGCTCAAACTGTTCTTTACTCCTGCAATTCTGCCCCTAGCTGCTGTGTGTCCTCGCAGCTACATCTTGCTGCTAAAAGCCCACTAAGCAAGGCTTGATCTACAGCAGTATGACAGAGTACAGCAAAGCATTTCTTTTTTATTCTGGTTTGTTGAGTGTTGCATCTGTACTAAACACAAGGACTTTTTTTCAACTGCACCGCTACTGACAATAAGCTTTCAACACATCTAAGTTATGTTCCATATATCTAAATATATCAATACCAGAAACTGCAGACAATAAACTGGAGTGTCATATTGCAACATGCCAACATTTCATAATATGTAAATTTTTCTAACTGCCAAGTCTTCAGAGGTGTGCATTCATTTTGTAACTCTGGCATTGCAAAGCACTGCTTTAGCTTTAAACCTTTTCTGCAAATTTGTTGCAGATTTTGATATGCAATGCCATATAGATATACCGTATTTGATTACATAACTGTGTCCTATCCTAGAAGAAGCACTGCTGCATTTTTTCCAAAGTTAACAGAAGAATCACAATGATTTAACTTAAATTATGCTTTTGTGGATGTTCAGCAAGATACTATGTTCACTAGTATCATTGTAAATGCCTGTCAATTCAGACTTATTGTCTGCAAGAAAATGTGTGAATAAAGTTTCAAAGTTTTCAAAGTTTTTCTAATGCATGGCTTGATTTGCCTTCAGGATGGAATCGGGGAGGTGAAGTTATCAGGTGACCAGAAGCTGTACTGGGTGTCGTTCCTGGACGGTCTGCAGAGGGTGCTGCTGTTTACTGAGGACCTGGCCGTCACCACCAGGGCTCACGAGGTGAGAAAGTCAGGCCTCCAAATTAACTTTTTGGCGACGTCTTAGGGAGGAGCCTAACGGTACAGTATTGTGTGCAATTCGCAAGAATTCTAGGAATTGTACAGGCATTTTGTCCACAGGCATGGAATGTACACAGGCATGTCTTCCAGCTGTGTTTGCAGACCCACATTCCTGGAAACCCTTGGGAAAACCTGTCTGCCCTGGATGCCCTACTTTCTGTGATCACATGGCTTGTTCACTATACATTCAGGGGAGGAGTGCACTTTATCTTACTAGACTTAACAGGTATCATGAAATCATGGCAGTACCATGCAAACAGAATTGTCCCAAAATAGATTTTAATTGCCCCGAACTAAAGATTGACTGTTCCAACCTGCTTTTTAGGAAATAAGTTTATGACAACAATGAGAAAACAACAATCATTTTTTGTCACCATCCAGGCTGACTTGGAGAGAGTAGAACAAGAGATTAACCTGCACATCCATGGACTCGGGGTGTCACTGGTTAATAATGAAACCAAGACAGAAGTATCTTACATTGGCATCACCAGGTGAGACCTTTCAAACTGAATATGTACTTTTATCGTAAAGTTTATAATTTGTACAATGAACAATGTCAAAACTGCAATCTCCAGGCAAAGCTGAACATGCATGACACTTGAAGTTTTGAAACTTTGACATCAAAGATAGAGCCACTTAGATGAAATGATATTTTGTAAATTCTGCACCCTGACTCGAAAATTCTTTTAAAGGATTTTTGTTCAGAATCAGATGGAAATGTGTGGTGTTATTTATTGCATGCCACTAATCAGAAACAATATTTTAATATACACATGCACATGAAAAACAATAATTGACACAAATGTACACCACAGATTCAACAATAGTAAGTACTGGAAAGGATAATATATATAAATAATGTGAGCAAATGTGCAGTGTTTTTATAAATGACATGTTGGTGTTGAATTCAGTGCTGTTTCTGTTCTTTGTTAGTTCTGGTGTGATCTGGGAGGAGAAGTTACGTCGGAGATGGAAGCCACTGTCCCTGAAGAAGTGTAACCTTCTGGAGGAGGCGTACCGTAAGAACCAGATCCTCATCAGCATGGGCCGGGAGCCAATCACAGGCCCTCAACAACTGGATTCAGGCTTGATGGTAAGAAACAGCCAATCACAGACCCTCAATAATTTGAATCGGGGTTTCAGGTAAGAACCAGCCAATCACAGGCCCCTAGCAGCTGTCAGGGAGCCAATCACAGGCCCTCAGCAGCTAGCAGGGAGCCAATCACAGGCCCCCAGCAGGTGGCAGAGAGCCAATCACAGGCCCCCAGGTGGCAGGGAGCCAATCAAGTCACCAATATTTTCGGCTAAGCATGCACTTACATGTACATTGATTTTTGTAAGTTACTTGACAGCAACTGTAACATCAGAATTGTGTGGTGATGAAAATTGAACTTTTTGTGCCCCTTTTCTGTAACTGTATCTGTATAGCCGGTATAACCGCCTTTCGGCGTAACACACCAGCTTCACAGGCGCGTGGTGCAGCGGCAGCTGGCTATATTACACCGATCAACATGTTACACCTAATCCTTGAACATCTAACTCTAGACATTGTTTAAAGCTATCTAATGACAATGCCCCTACTGCACTTGGGGACAGCAAGTTCCACTCTGTGATAGTTCTTGAACACCTCAATCCTTTTGGTCTGCAGGTGGATGTATCTGACATGCGGATGTACAAACCGAACAAGAGAAACGTTCGGCGCATGTTCGAGCCGGGAATCTGGGCACAGGTCAAGATGTCCAGTCATCAACAAGCTCTGCATTTCAAAGTTAACAGACTACAGGTCAGGACTCTCATGGCTTACCTTGTTGGTTTGCTAATTGTTGCTAGTGGTCTCGTGTGGCGTAACGGTAGAGTGTTTGGACTCAGACCCAAGAGGTCCCGGGTTCAAATCCTGCCCAATGCCACCAATCTTGTGCCCTTGGGAAAGGCACTTTACATGACTGTCCTCACTACACTCAGTTAGGGACATCCCTGGCATAGGATGTTAAAATAGAGGTCCTGTGTTTGGGAGAGCCACACCCTACGCACGTTAAAGACTCCACCACACTTTTCGAAAAGAGTAGGGGACCTTCCCTGTGTGAGTGGTTTAAACCTTCAAGAAATTAACAGCAAGTTTTTAAAAATACCTCAAGGCAGTGTGCAAACTTTTGATTTCTTCTTGGAGATATTATTCATTCTTAGATTTATTAAATTAAATGCTTTATTAATGCTCTTTTTTTCAGATTGACAACCAGCTGCCAGCCTGTGTGTTCCCCTGTGTACTGTACCCTATAGCTCCACCCAAGTCAGTCGCCCTGGACAGTGGTAAGTCAGAGAATGTACATTTTATAGGGGTGTTGTTTAACCTTTAGCACACTGAGGAAGCAATTCCCTGTTGGTTATACATAGATTCAGGCAGCAGGGAAAAGGTTGAATACCATGGTTATTTTCGTTGGGTCTTGCTATCTGCTGGTAGATGGTGATTTCCTACATGTAGTCCAGAACATTGAAGTTTGTATAAACTGAATACTAGTTACAATGTCTTTAGGTAGTAATGATTGAATATTTTCCTTCACAGCTCCTAAACCTTTCACTGAGCTGAGTTTGGTGATGAGACAAGAAGAGCACAGCCACGTCAGACAGATCAAGTGAGTTGAAAGCTGGTCACCATTTCAAATAGTTGCTTCTTGCATGAAAAGTGTGGAAGTAGATCAACATGAACATTAGAGAGTCGAAAGATAGGTCTAGAGCCAGATGCTAGTTTTCCTCCCATTCTTTGTTTTCTGTCAACGTGTTGCTAAATTCTGATAGTTTGAATGAGCCAGTTTACGGTTAAAGTTTTAACTGCACATGCAAAGTGTGGTGTAACATGGAAAAGTTGAAGGCTGCTGAGACATAAACAATCACATTATGGACTTGGTATCAAGCATAGTGTAGAGAAGAACTGATCATGAGATAAGAGCCTTTAGCATTGACCTTGCACATTTTCCAATTCTAAATGTAAACTGTCATATAGCACTTTATATCATACCCGGGTCACGATAACGTTCGATAACGGCTTCCGGACCGGGCTGTACTTTACGGTACGGCCCGGTCCGGAACCCGTTATCGAACGCTTCCATGGCTTCCATAAAACGATTCGAACGCGTTTCGCCCTAACCGCGTGTGCCCCTTTCGAAAATTCGAATACAGAATCCGGACGTTGGAACTGATGTTGTTGCATTTGAGGGTTTAGGGGCACCAACTTTTGGCTCATATTGCATTGAAAGGCGTGTTTTCTTGGGTGGGTATGATATAAATAAAATACCACACGGTGTATTCCGCATCGCCCTCGGTCCCGGCCCACCCGCAGTCGGGCCGATACCTCGGGCGATACGGAATACCCGTGTTGTATTCTATATGTACAAGGTGGCAAATATGCTTCATGCTCAAACTGACAGCTTACATGTCATGTCCCTGTCCATGTAGATACTTCAAGGCCCTGATGCAGGAGTATGCTGTGAGTGTGGACCAGGGTTTCCTGTCTGCCATTATACAACTCTTCACTACAGATCAACAACATAACCCTGACCAAGAGGTATGGATATGTACTAGTCTTGTAAATTAAAGCAATTCTATCAATCACAATGTTTATTTCCTTGTATTACAATATTGTAGACTAAGTGTACTACACTTACAAACATTACAGCAAACTTTATAATCTGCTGTGTAGTGATTATGTTCAGGATTGGCTGCGTTTTTCTCACTTTTGAGGCCTTTTTTGAAAACTCATTTTCTAGACCTGTTCCAAAAGTCTCTTTCTTTACCATCAGTACATGTAATACTCAGACTGCTAATAGGATATTCTGTATGTAAACTTTATTGCACAGTAACTGTACAAGGTACAAAGTATCTATTGCTAATATAAAAGCATACTACAAAATGTATAAGATTAATATACCTTACAAAGACTACGTACATGTAGTATGGGATGAGTAAAAACTATGTACTTTTACATTGCCTAATGTCTAGCATTTAGGCAATTTTTTTAGATATTTTCCTATGATATAATGTACCAGTTCTCTACCTGATTATCATCTGTTGTTGCCCCCCTCCCCCTCCCCAGTTGGAATACTTCCAAGAAGATGTGAAAGTGTCCCAAACCAGTCTGATGGCCATGATGGTAGAAGGTGCCATTGGTGAACAGAAAAATTTCTACGACGACCTTCATTTGGGCCCGATCAAGGTCAGTACTCATGATTTAGTTAATTTGCACAAATCGTTTGATTAAGCTACGACTCAACAAGTTAAGTGACCCTCTGTGTTTCAGTTCTTGTTACTTACATCAAGTAATATAAACTATGATATGGAAACATGAAATTGAAAAAAATCTTCTGAATCAATACATGCAAAAATGTAACAAAAAGTTATAATATAATCTATATTTCTGTTTTCATATGACTTTCAGGACAAATCATTCTGAATCAGTTATTTATTTATTAAAATGGCAAAACTTTCTAGATCTACTCATGAAGTAGGTAATTCTGCCAGGAAAAAAAATTGCCTAAATAGATATTCAATTAAACTTTCTCCAGTGTAATCTAAACTGTGCTTGCCTGCACTAGACATCTCTCAAACACTCTCAAACAAACAAACCAATGTCTAACCTGGTAGGTAAGTGTCCATTGAGGTTGATTTTTTATGAAATGTTAATAAAAACCATATCCTTGTAGGTCCATTTGAGTTTCTCTCTCCACGGAGGAGGTGATGATAAGACAGAGAAGACAGATGAAGAGGAGAAGAAGAAAGCCCCGGCTCCTGGGATACACTTCAAGGCTCTGAACCTGCTACTACAGAGTGTCGGAGTCACACTGACAGAGATACAGGATGTAGTGTTCAAGTGAGTAGAGTAAATGCCCCCGCCCCAGAGGTGTTGCCAAAAAATGGGAAACATATCAAGCAAACTACTGGACTAAGTCAAATTGGAAAAAAATGTATTTTGAGATATCAAATTGAAACTGTTTCTGTCCTGTTGTTGGGTTTAATTTTTCATGCCTTAACAGTTCTTTGATCTAAAACAGATAGTAACACTAGAAGAAAAGGCACTGATTGATTGGTTGATTGCTTGATTGATTGACTGACTGGCTTCTTTTCTGTTCCAGGCTTGCCTTCTTTGAACGTAGGAATGCTTTCTACAGTCAGAGTCAGCTGACAGGAGTCATTGTCAAGCACTACTCCTCACAAGTAAGGAAATTGTGCCACTTAGTTTATCTTCAACTGTGTTCATATGTTCAAATGTGTCAGAGCAATCAGTTTCTCATGCCTATGCATCTGAGATAATATATGCCAATCATTGTTGTTACAGTTACTGAGAGTCACTATGCTGCCTTAAAACATTATTTTCAAATTATTAGTGCCAACACAAATTACCGTTACGGTAGTAGTTTCTACATGTATATCTTGGATTCTATGATAATCCTTGCTGTACCTTTTCAGGCGATCAAGCAAATGTATGTGTTAGTACTGGGCCTTGATGTCCTGGGAAACCCCTTTGGCCTCATCAGGGGCTTGACTGAGGGGGTAGGGGATCTCTTCTATGAGCCCTACCAGGTATAGTATGCATTTGTATGCATTAATTCAGAATTCATAGCTCCTAACAACAGTTTTTTCTTTTAAAAATTCATAAAATATTATGACTGTCTTGTGCACATGTACATGAATGGATGACAATGATGTTATCTTCTAGAAGAATGTACATGTACCAACTGATTTCCCCTTGTCTTTTTTCCCAGGGTGCCATTCAAGGCCCTGAAGAATTTGCAGAAGGCTTGGCCCTCGGAGTTCGAAGCTTAGTGGGGCACGCCATCGGTAAGAAAAAAAATGACAATTTCATCTTTCTCTGTAGTGTTGAATCAAACAAAAGTGTAGCAAGATGTACCTAATAGTATATACAATAGGAAAGCCAGATTGTAAGGTAAATGCTAGTAGAAGATTCAGCATGTACAACAGTTCAACAGTCAGTACCAAGGACAGGAACAACTTAGAAACCTGGTACCTTTTTTTTAAATAATAGAAACATCCTTAAACTGTACACAAATAGGACACATTTTGAAGATGCTTAACTTATTGTATGTTAGGTACAGTATAGAAGGGTCTGGCAGAGTGTTGACTTGTTTGTTGTTTATTGCTGTTGTTGTTTATCAGGTGGCACGGCCGGTGCAGTGTCCAGGATCACAGGAACAGTAGGAAAGGGTCTTGCGGCCCTGACTATGGATGACGACTACCAACAGAAGAGACTACAGCAGATGAGCAAACAGCCACAGTCTGTACAGGAGGGCCTGGCACGGGGAGGGAAAGGGCTGCTCATGGTAAGACCCTCATTAAGGTTTCCCGGGTATGCAAATTAGGAATTGAAAGTTCCCTTTTATGCAAATTTAGACTTGAAAGTTCCCATTTATGTAAATTAGCAGTGAACACATAGGATATCCTTTGCCTTTGATCATAGAAGTATGACAGTGCTTTTCCATGCCATTTTACACCGAACGCTGTGCAAAGTAACATTCCTTTTTGGAATCATGTAAAACTGCTAATAGTATATAGTATCCAGAAAACAGCTTTTACAAATAGTGCCAAGATTATAGTGTCATGTACATGTAGATTCTCATTTTTAAAAAGCTATAGAATTGTTACAGTAGTGACAGTTGCTGTTGTCTTGTTGTGCCTGTATGTACAATCTGTATGCTTCTCCATCTTGTCTCATGCACTTGCTGTGCCTTTCTGTAGGTTCGGAAGGTAAGGTACACATGCACATCTCATGCCTTGTTCTCATGTTTCTTCTCATGTTTGCAAAGTTAACATACCTTTTATATGGTAACCTTTAATTATGAAAGTTTCTATAATGTTTACAGCCCATCCGCTATTACACTTGTACTGGCCTTGTTACACATCTAAGTAAGGCCACTAACAAACATATATGTATTCAGCTTCTTTCACAGCTTTCTAACCATTTTCCATGGCTGCATTTCAAGCAAGCATGTGCACATGTAACCCAGACCAAGGACATATACCTTGCCCAGACATTGTTCTCTTCAGGTCACAGAAACAATATGGATGTGCATTTTGATTATATCTAATCATCATAATACAGTTTTTTCTTCCAGTTTACATTTTGAATCCTCAAGCATGTGTCCATTCAAACCAGTGGAAGCAAACTAACAATGTACATTTTTAAAAGTTTTCTTTACTCCAATCTTCTAGAGAAAAGAATGTTTTGTAAGGAGTAGAAGTTTAACACTGTTTACTGTTCCAGGGCTTTGTTGAAGGAGTCACAGGGGTAGTCACCAAACCTGTGGAGGGTAAGAAATTCTCACTAACTTTAGACTGGAAATAGAGTAGTAGTAGTAGTAGTCCACTGTGTTCTGCTGCTGCAGTAGCTTAGCATCCTGCAGCACCAATCAGTCTTTCTTCAGCTCTCTCCACTTCGTCTTGTTCATCGCGAGCCTCCTGAGCTCCTGGAGTTTTCTTTCTGACCGCAATGGTCCTAGTCCTCTTTCCTTGAGGTCTGCCCTCAGCAAACTTAGCAGATTACTGCAGTGCAATAGAGTTCTGAGATTTAATACCTCTGTATAGAGTTCTGACTCTGAGAATGCATACCTCCCCCTACATGTATTGTACAATCTAGTGCTGTGTAGTGCAAACTTTTAGAATGTTACGTTGAAGTACAAAATTGGAGAATCATTATACATGTATGGCTGTACAAAAGAATTGTCTTTGAACAGTGTAAAATTGAAGTGTAGTCCTAGCATCGGAGATTGTTTGTTTGTTTGTTTGTTTGTTTGTTTGTTTGAACCTTTATCTACCGGTATTCATGAAATACTCTTAGGCTAATTGTCCACTTTTCATATAAGTCATGAGGGGAGAGGTCAGTGTCATACAAAATATGACAAGATACAGGTTACATGTCTTGATAAGCAACTTGTCTATGTAGTATGCCATATTTTTGACTTAATCTTTTTCTCAGGTGCCAAGAAGGAAGGAGTTGGTGGATTCTTCAAGGGCATGGGGAAGGGACTTGTGGGAGTGGTGGCACGGCCGACCGGAGGGGTCATTGACTTTGCCAGTAGCACCTTCAACACTGTCAAAAGGTGGTTTGGAAATAACTGGTCTTGTTTGAATAAAAGCTCATTCGTGTTGGTAGAATCCATAGTTAAAGAGTCAGACTTTGTTCCAACACAAGAAAGGAACTCCCTATAAATTTTTGATCGATCTCGTAAACCTTCGCCGGATGTATGGTTCACTTGCTGACACTTCAGACTTTGTGGAGAGTCAACAAGTGCATTACACGTCTGACAAAAGTTGACAAGACTGAAAATTTATGGTGAGTTCTGTCCTTGTGTTGGAACAAAGTCTAAACTCTACAACAGTCACTGGTCTTGTTAAGAAATTGTCCAAAACAACATACACTTGAAGTTGTCCTGAGAAAAATACTTTGTAAAGGAGAGACATATAAATACATGTATACAAGTATAGACACTTTTTCTCATATATCAAAATTCAATGCAAGAACTACAGTTGAAACTGTCATGTCTCTGTCTTGTTACAACATTGTAAAAATTATAGTATGAATACCTTCATGATCTTTCTTCAGCAAAAACAAACTTCAAAGGCAACTAGACTTTAAGACTTCTTGATAACACAATTCTACTACTAAGTTTTGTGTTTCAACTTAAACAAGAAGCCATAGGCGACAATTCTCCGTGAAGTTTTATATATTTCAACAAAATCCCAAGCGTCAACGCCAGACCTACTGTGCAGACATTATAATTAGGCAACGGTTAATACCACGCTCGTCCCCAGCGCCCGTGGAGAAGCCATAGGTTATAGATCGTGGCTTAGCCCAGGCTATGGAAAATAAACTTTCTTTAATGCAAATCTGTCGTTTTTGTTTTCTTTGCGCTATCTAAAGGGTTAGGATAACCTACTCTACTCTGGCGGTATTGTCGTGCGCGCTCGCTAGTACGTAACGTTACACGGCGGCCATCTGAATACATGTACACTGCATTCTTTCTACTATCGGGACCTAAAACAAGACGCAAGATTCCTATTTTGGGGTATAAAATGCTGTCACAATGGTAATATATACCAAATGAAACGGACCTTTACAAAGTACCTCATTTGGTGACGCTATGAGGGTGTACCGTTATCCCTCTACATTTGCCCAGAAGGGAGTTAGTCGCGGAAGGAACTTAGCCACGGAGGGAGTTTTGGCATTCTCCGCCCGCGCCACAAACTCTCGTCCCCAGGACAGTTCACCCTGCTACCCAGCATGCTTTGCGCAAAATGCGTTCTCGGCCCCAGGACACAAATACACGCTAATGCTTCCGCACTGTGTCGCTCTGGGGACCCCGCCGCGCGCCCAGATGTGGATTTAATTATAGCGCGCTAGCGGACGCTGCGGAGGAGCGTGGGTTAATACAATGAGGGCGCGTCACAAGCATAAAACATACAAAGAGCTAAATCCATTACTGCTCCCACATTTTGTCCCAGGGCGTGTAAAGATACTGTGCTTCAAGTTCTAACTTCGATTTTAATTACACACACACAATCATTGCATTCACATAAAGATCGGACTATCATGGTCGTGTCTAGTAACAAAGACAGCCCCACCGTCTTACGGTGCCTGTACCTAATTAAGCGCGCCTGGAACAAGCCAAATTCCAGCAACAGTGGCGGTAAGCACCGCGAGTGTTACTACCGCCGGCCAGATAACCAGGATATCTGCTTACAGTACCTCTGCTACCAGACAACTGCCTAAACCTACGGTCTATTCCACAGGATTGTAAAAGTAGGGATGTTTCGAAAATAACCATTTACTCCAATATCAAAACAGCTACGGTAAAAATAAAAAGACGTGCATCATCCCGGACATAATGCAACACCACATGCGAAATTACACAGATATGCGACGTACGGCAGAATGCGTTTTGGCTGCGAACATCTTCCAAAAAACTTGGCATCTCTTAACCATGGGCAAAAACATCTGGAACCACTTATAAAAACCACCCCGTATCTGCATGAACTATTAACTCCCCCCCCGCTATTCCAAACAACGCGTTTTTCTGGACCGTTCCAATTCGCCTCGTAATTGTAGGGGTGCGTCTGCGATATTACATTGACCGCGAAAGCAGCAACGGCAAAAATACACATTCGTGCATCAACACGGGCATGCCCGCAGACGGCGTATAAAATTGCGTGCCGATTACACGAAGAGAACCCAGTGTTTTGACTGCGAACATGAAAAATCAGCCGATTACAACACTCCGTCCGGAGGTCCTGACCTCCTTCACGGAGTAAAAATAAGTCTATGATGATTATAGAATAATGATGGTGTTCAACCTCCCTTTGGAATGCACCATTTTTAGGCTGTGGGTAGATTTTGTTTGCATGTTTACAGAGCTGCAGAGGTTGGGGAGGAGGTACAGCGCCTGCGCCCCCCTCGACTCATCTATGAGGATGGTATCATCCGACCTTATGCCATGAGAGAAGCCTGGGGCAACCAAGTCTTACAGGTATGTGTCAGTCACTTCTGAACCAGAACAGGACAGAAACTTACATGGACATTATTTGTAAGCAACTTTGTGAGTTTATCATCATATGGTCATACACTGAGGGCATTATTGGGATAGTAATGGGATAGTGATGTCCATGTTTTTTTTTTCTATTCCAACATTTATCACAAAACATGGCAACGACACACTCAAGTTTTTTTCAACTCATTTTTACCGCCACCAATACAGACAAATACAGGGACAACAGACATATTTTCACCTGTGTAAAGTGAGGAAATTCATGTAAAATGCCTTTCCCAAGTGCACGAGATCAGTGGCGTGGCAGGATTCAAACTAGGGACCTCTTGGTTCCGAGCTGAATGCTCTGTCATTATGCCACACGACCCCAGAGTTATCAATGTATCATAGAAAATGCAGTTATCATGTTACCAAATACATGCAGACTTTTTAGTGATTGGTTGTTACTTCTGATTGAGAATGCCTTGACAAAATCATACTGTTATGACAAATGTAACAATGCCCTCAGTTGACACAACACACAGAACCTCTGAAAAAAGAAAAGTTCCTTCATGTTTAGGTCATACTGATAGTACATGTACCACCGGGTTTTTGCAATGATCTGTCTCATGTATTTCCAGGATGTGGCCAAGGGAAAATACGCTGCCACAGATACCTACCACTACCACGCAGTACTGTCTACTGATGCCAAAGAGGTCTTCCTCATCACCAACCAGTAAGTTTTATTTGCTGTCTATAAAAGATATTAATTTAAAAGTACTCATAATGTCGGTGTTGATGTCTGTCTTGAAACTTTTGCTTGTAGAACACATGATATTACCATGATTTGTAAAGTGGCCTTATACATGTAATTTGCGCTGTCATTTTAATGTCTAGTAGAAATCTAGACACAATTTTGCAGGTAAAGCCCTTTCTATTTGATTAAAAACATCTCAATGTGCACTTTTAGTAAGTAAACACATTTTCTCCCCCTGGCAGGCGGGTAGTGTACTGCAGTAAGGGTGACATCTTCGGACACTGGGACAGTGACTGGGCCTACAGGTTTGATGAGTTCAGGGAGCCGCCTAGCCTGGTAGAGAAGGGCATTAAGATCCTTGCCAAGGTGGGTACGTCCTAAAAACCTGGGTGCTAGGCTAGAAACCTACATTCACCAGTATGTATGTGTGTGCAACACTGTAGCTGTGTGTGTGTGTGTGTTTGTGTGCGTGTTTGTGTGCGCGTGTGTGTGTGTGTGCGTGTGTGTGTAATACGTGTGTGCGTGTGTGTGTGTGTGTGTGTTTGTGCGTGTGTGTGTGTGTGTGTGTGCGCACGCGCGCGTGCGTGTGTATGTAAAAGTGTGAATGAGAAGAGCACAAGACTTAACATGCTTGATGATAATTATAATGTGCAGTGAATCAAACATGGAATGAGTGATTTTTCCCTTTAGTCTCTCACTGCATTGATGATGACACTTTACATTTTACCCAATGAATAATGCCACATGTACTATTGCATGTTTATCATTATATTCAGATGCAGTCTACAGAATTATATGTAGCTTAGATCATTACTAAGGCAGCGATGCATTAATAAAAGAATTTAAGTCAAGATATGTTGCTTTTTTCATGAGTTTGCCGTGTCCTCACAGTGAGATCGATGCACATATAGCACTGGAACATGATACATTATTTAAGATCTCAGCAATGGCTTGCTTCATTCAATACACATACATTTTTGTGTACATTTGCACCACGGCACAACACATACTACCATACTGCTGTCACAGTAGATTATAATGTCTGCATCGCTTCCCTCCCGCTTAACATGCGTAATGTAGGAAACTGCCGAGGAAGAGGTGAGAGGTTACAGGTCATCATAAACCTCTCTCTGTGTCTGTCTGTCTGTCCTTCTGTGCTGTGAGTTCTGCATGGTTGTGGTGTCTGTGTACTTGTCTGTGTCATTCAGTCCATTCCTTAACCTCCTCCTTGCCGTGGTAATCGTAATGATTTGGTGCAAAAGGCAGCAGGGAGAAGGTTAATTTTCTCAGATCTCTTAAGACATGTATGATATGTAGTTTGGGGATTTAGACATCTTTCCCCAACCTACATGTATGCACCTTTTTACTGTTCTTGTACCTCAACTCATCTATGTCTCAATCATGTTAGAATACTATCTCATCTTTAGGTTTTCAGAATCTGATGTTCTTTATTACATTAGTCCCTGATACTTGACAAAAGTTGAACATTTTACATGCTGTTTACTGACTACATATTAGTCAACTTGTTGTGTATTGTCTAATGTATGGTCTGGAAGTTTTATATTTGGGGAAGTTCATTTAAGTACAGTCCCAAATTAGGGCCCTGTGACATTCGTTGTATGCAGCTGAATTTAATGTATGAACTCATGTTCTATAATTCTATTATTCATTGTTTGAAGTATGCATTTGCTGTGTGGCACATTTTGGGTAATATTCTGGTCAAAGCTGAAGCCCCCTGGCAATACTTTAAGAATGGCTAGTAGGTTCTTTCAATTTTGACATATTACCTACAATGTACCACACCATGAACTAGCTCCTATCACTATTTTAAAGTTTATCTTTACTGTTCTAAACTCCCAACTGTGATATCTTTCCCCTGTGTCTCCCCATTCCTTCCCTGTGTGGCCCGATGGACAGAAAAAGAAGAAGGTAAAACCTACACAAACACACAACTCTTCCAACCTTCTTGTTCCACCAGTACACTAGTACACACCTAACCCTAGCAGAACACCAGTTTGCATGTGTTTTGAAAGTCCAACAAGAGTTCCAATAGAATTTACTGGTACCTATAATACTTCTAGTGAAGGGTTGTTAGTTGCATGTTTGTACTGTTAGACTATATTTTGGAAGTTGTTGTGGTTTTATATTTAATTATAGACCTATACATGCAGAAGACTATAATTTTCGAAAAGTGTAGCATCCAATCATGTTGCCTCTTGGCCATAACCAGTGACCTGATTGGTTGGTTACTGTTCCTCCAATAACAAGTGGGATAGTATCTGATTGGCTGTCAGAAGGGTGGATACTAGTCCAGTAGGCCATGATTGCTACTTGCTATACTGTGATTTCTTATTGTCAAGTCCTTGAATGCAAGTGGCAGTCCTGGGAATATAGGACTGTATGATTTTCCCAAATCATATTTTTGGTGACATCTGAGTTGTGTCGCTATTCTAAACTCAGTCTGACATCTTAAAGTAGATAGAAGATCCCATTTTATGAGCATAAAGCATGTAAGGTTGTAACCTTTTATTGCTCAATTTTCTTGTACAGGAGGGCAGGCAGCTCGTCAAGAAACCAGCATTCCTGAAAAGCCCAACTGCTGGGAAGATCATCAACTTTACTGACAAGAAATTTGCACAGGTAGGAGAGCACTTCATCAATGCAACTTTAACTTGTCCCAAGTATGGAAATCATATGCTTACACCTGTTTTGTTTACATACTTACGACAACATAGATGACTTTACTGTACCTACAGGTAATTTCTTCTTGAATGGTTCAAAACTTACTCAGTCACACATGTTAGCATTAGGAAGAAGTCTAACTTCTACATGCATTGAGATTGAACAATCTCTCCAATAGATCTTCAATGTGTTTAGGTTTATCGTCACAAAATTTGATTTTGTCCACTTAGGCCACACCAATTTAATTTGTTGGTTCTCGGATTCACCTCTTCATTTTTTCCTGATTTGCAAAAAAAAAAAAATTCAGAATCAACTGCAAAATGCTCATATTTTGCCCTGAACAGTTGAAAACAGTCCTTTTCTTCCTAGTCGTTACAGATATTCCATCTTTCAATGCAGTGGTATCATTAGAAGTTCAAAATTCATTGTTTAAATTTTGAACCAGCCTTTTGTGTTGACTTCATACCTCCTATCGTAGCATTTGGGGCTATAATAGGATGCCTAGATCTGTTTTTATTTTTATTTTTTTTCGCCCTGTTGCTTCATATTTTTCCTGAAAAAATCCGAGAACCAACAAATTGAATTGGTGTGGCCTTACAGACAAAAATATAGACAAATAAACTCTCAAGGATGGTATATTGCCATAGTTAGTACATCATGATAATGCACAACTTTTTAGGGTTAGGTGTTTTATAGTAAGAGAGATATTCTTGTTTAGCTGCATATTTTGAACTCCGTATGACTTGTGTTTCCTCTGAAACAGCGCCCGCCCGGGGAGCCTGACGCCAGGGTAAAACCTCCTCCCCTTGTCTTGCATGAGTTCACAGCGCCCTCTAGCTCTTTAGACTGGAAAGACAACTAACACTAGTGTGAAACTCATGGATTGTTCCCTGTGTTGAAGTGTCTTGATTTTGTGTTCTTGCGTGTTTTAAATATATGAAATAACCTTTATCCTACAGCCTTTAACCCATTTGCAATCCAAATTCTTTTTTTCAACCCAAGACAATTATTTAATGGTTGTTTTTTTCTATCTATATACCGCTTTAATATATAACGTTAGCAAAACTACTTGGTAGTACAACATAAGTACTGTTTAAATATTGCAAAATAAATAGAGAAATTGTGACTGCTCAACGGATACCTCAGAAATTACTTCAACTAATTTTCCAACTGCTTTTTTTCTCACAGTTCATGTGTATAATATATATAGCTCCAGCTTAACTTTTACAATTTCTATTCTCCAACAGATGTTTCAAAGTTGGTTTAACCAGACTAAGTGTTACTGTGTTATTGGTTTACTGCTAGTAACTGTAACTATTACATTATTTGATGATTATGTATTGTTTTCATTAGTTATGGTATCATAAGTATTGGGTACAAAACTTAGATTGTAGTCACTTCTGCAAGCCATAGCCTTTCACAAAGTAGACAACAGAATTTTATAGAAATTCATATTGTTATATATAATAATTTCATTATAATACTATTCATGTACACTGAGTGAACTATGGACTGCTAAGCCTACCAACGAGTGTTTACTAACAATTTGTAGCATTGTTTATGATACTGTTGAAACAGTTGTTTTCCCTGTGTTCTTTGTCTTCTACTGGAGTTTACTTGCATGCACATGTTGTGTTATAGCTTTGTACTCCTTTTTCTCCCCAGCATGTTCTAAACAAGCTGAAAGAGGCCATGGACAAGTTCAGTGCACCGAAGTAGGAAAATCTGCTGTTCAAAACACCTTACAACTACAGAGTCACCAGTCTTCTGCATCCAAACCTACGGCATTTCCCAATTAACAAGTGAGATCAGTAGTGGATGTCTGCAATAATAGATGTTGTGTCATATTAAATCTAACATTATCAGGTGAAGGGAACACATTAACTAACAAAAAAAATTCAATCTCTCAGCTTTGTCTAATAAATGCTCTTCTTCAAAGCTTTTTTTTTTGCACAGAATGTACATGATAGAAAAATACACATTATGACCAAAAGAAAACCAGCATCACCATTTTGCTAATTGCATTACTTGAATTTTATTTTTACTGACTCCTTTTATATGAATCATGTTAAATTTTCTTGAGCAGTAGTTAGTTAGAACCTTCACCACATTGTCATAATAATTCGGAACAGTTATATAATAAGTCTCTTTGATATTAAGGTAGCTATGATCTTTGATTTTAGAACGTATTCATTGCAAGTAAGGCTTGTGTTATCACTAATAAGAAATATTTGCAATATAGAAATTATTATTAGGCAATGTAAATTAGTATTTACTGTTAAATTGGTTTCAATTTTTGTGCTTTGTTATAGCATTGCAAAACATAGTTAGACTTATTAGCCAAAATATTTTGACTACTTTAAGGTGGTTGGAAAATACCTTGATCTTAGAGCAATTTTGGTAAATATTCTGCATTTTGTGTATAGCAAATACACATTAGATAGAATAAACAAGGATTACACAATGTCCTTGGAATAGGTTGCAGAATTGTTCAAGCTTTCTCAGGTGCTGCTACTTTCTTGAATTGATAATACTAGCAGTATTGAAAACTTTCTGTTGTTTGTTAGAGACTCAAATTTTTGGACAATAAAAAATATTGTAGAGGACATTTACAATAAATACTAACAACTAACTAAAGGATGAAATTGGTGTATATCCCTGTAGGGTATATATAAAAGAACTATATGGTCAGACTCTCC